TACGAATGGATCTTGGAATTGACTAAAAACTGGAATCGGATCTATTATATCCGGAAGTACTTGTACTACTACACTACAATATATAATGTAGGATTTTTAAAATGCGTTTTCTTTCGATCACTTTGGTTGTTCCTCAGCCCCCACCCTTTAGACTTCAAAATTTAAGCCTTTATCATCAATGACGAATCCTAGAAGGACAAAACAGTTATATAATGCAGTTTAATTTTTCTTATTAAACTGAAAATGCTAATTTATAAACGAATTATCAAAGTAAAAATTTTTAAAGATTTTTTTTATCGAAATGAAAATAACTTCACTGTCGGAGTAGATCAAAATAACAAAATAAAACAATGTTATCTTCGGTCATTCCGATTCATTGTTTATCAGTTTATCCGGAAAAGGTCATATGATTAGTGACAAACATGTCGTTTCCGGTGAACGGAGAAAGTTTATATGAGGACAAATGTATTTAAAACTGATGAACTTGGTTCGCTATTATGCTTCCGGTTGGTTGTATAGATAAACATTTTTAGCCGAGCTTATGTTTATAGGGTAACAACTTGATTGTTTTAATGTCGATATAATAGTATACACGTTCTCTTTACCAAATATCAGTTTTACAGCTTCAGCTGAGAGTTCTTGACAAAGATCTCATTTTGATATCATTTTATTATTGGTATAGAAGTTAAAACTCGTGTAAAGTAATATTGTAAAAGATTGTACTCAACATAAGATGATATAATTGCTCTCAGTCTGTCTTTTACTTACAGTTCACTTAACCTATCACTCAAAAGTTATTCATATATAAACAATGCATGAATATAGATATGAAGTTTATTTCAGTTTGGTATACATCTTGTTCTCGTTTGTAACCTGACATAATCACGTTATCAGTATTTGAAAAATAAAAGTACAGTTCATAAGAACAGATACGGTACGCAAAGGCGACGGATATTGTTCAATAAATTCTACAAAAGACAAACAAGTAAATAAAATGAATAGCGTTTTTCTATTAAATAAATAAATAAATAAATAAATAAACAACGACAGAACGAATAAAGTATCGATATGTTAACACGATCTTACTTCTAAATTAACGTTCGGTGAAACATTTACAAAATAAAAAGAAAAGTAAGATTAACACGGATATCCCGGTAAAAGTGCAAGGATGTTAAGACCACAAGGTGTTTCGGAATGGTAAGCGTCTTCCGATTCATCGACGGTATCCGCCGATGTATTGCAGAGAAATTGTGGTACAAACTCGTGAACACTGAATCAATTTTTATCATCATAGGCTGAGAATGAAGGAATATTATTATCTGGAAAATTTACAATCGGTTAATGGAAATAATCTTGCTGATCATACAGTTTGGTAGAAAGCAGGCTATGTTAGTTTCGTTAAAGGAAAGTGGTAAGCGACCGATATACGAGAGTCTCCCATGATCCCGATTTCAATTCTGGTTGGTATACAAGATGTGCGACACAATTCCAATATTTATTGTCTGTGTGAAGAACTTGCTATTTAGCGCGAAGAATTTTCACACTTCTATCCTCTGTATTTTCTTCCTGGCTTTAGTTGTACTTTTCGAAGAAATACGCCCCCTCCCCTCCCCCACCAGACTAATAGAATACAAATTTAGTAGTAGACGCAGTATCTGCTGAAAAAACCAAACCGAATCCTAGAAGTGAGTCGTCCTTTTAGAACTCCTCAGTAGTGCCAGATATATATAGGTATATATAGCTTAAGAAGACTGAACAAAATATTACACATATATGTAGATCTCGTTTGTGTAATACCCCACCAAAACAAAGAATAATTGTAATGATAGAGGTACCACGTAAAGGTGATCTTTAGTGAAAGTTTAACAGTTTCACTATAAACAATCATGATATGAAAAAGTATACACATATGTTACTGCAATGCTATCTATATTATAGTTAATTTACGCCAGTTGGAAACCTTTCAAAGCACTCTGTTTCAATTAAAATTTCAATAGCACGGTTTTGTATTTTAAAACTGTAAATTTTTACTAACAATGACTTACCAACTAGGACAATTTTAATGTGAATTGTTCCGGCTTTTAAATTTTATAAATTCATTACAATATGTATAGACGTAAGACGAATGTAATTACAGGCGCAGTTAAAAATATCCTATACTTGTGTTTTTGAACACAGGCCCTATAGTATTACTTCTGTATAACAATGAAACATGGAAATCCAACACCTATGGTTTTCTTATATACGACCAGCTTAAAACCTTATTTTCTCAATACAGATTCAATTGAATATAATGTTCTTGGCAACTTTAGAAACATGCATGCATAAGAAGAGCTGAAAATTGATGGCGAGGACGTGTGTTGTGGCTGAATTTTTTGTGTGATATGTAATGGAGATCAGATAACGGATATTTGGCGTGAAAATATGTACATCCGTTGAATACTTCAAGTAAAATGGAATTGCTCGATATAGATAACTTTAGATTAATTATTTCGTTGTCAATCATACAGTATTACGTCATTGTTATGCCGGAGTGAATGACACCACACGCACGACTCTGTGCCGCTGATAAAAATTTCCGATAATACTACATATTAGACAACGTGTAATATCCAGGCCGTGAGACGGTGTGACGGATCCGGCAATTTCTTACGTGGAGGATGTCGTATAGATATTATTACACCAAGTACCGCTTCATTGCGTTTGATATCAATACATATCAAACGTAGAATATATGTTTATAGCACACACAATGTATTTGATTGTGAAATTGTAATGCCAGAGTTTACTGGGTTCGACAAAATCGGAACTTGATACATGTAAAACAGTACCGGTGACCGGAGCTAAACAAGTTATTGTGTCCAGTTATCAAATAAATCAGAAATATGTTTGACAGAGGAACTACTACAATGTGCTTTATACAAACTTGTAAACAAGAAATCAAATCAACGATGAAATTCAAAATACCGGATACTGCACCTAATTAATTTGTTTATAATTTTTCAAATTTTTCAAATTACATATGTCGTTATGATTAAACCATTGGAATGTTGTTTTTCATGTTCAAACAGCCTAGACGAATATTCAGTTGACGTAAATATATCAATTAATAACGGTAAGACAATAATCACGTGCGTACTTGGTTGTTTTTGTTAAACAAATTATCAACAGTGAGAAATGGTCAACAGAATACCTATCAAATATTATATAAACAATGCTTCTATAGGTAATAGCTCAGTTTGTCTCAATCGGTGTTTACTCGGTAACGTTACAGTATTTTGTCAAATACTTCTACATCATAAAACTTACTCTGCTTTGAGGGATCACTCCAGTATTAAACTATCTCAAAAATTGCATGGTTATGGACGGCTCAGCAATATTTTCCCTATACACTCGCAGTTGGAGAGAATTATCTACTAAACGGTAGCTAAGCGAGTTTGTCACCGTTAAAGTGCGGACACTTTTAAAAGATAAAAAGATCGACACGATATAAAGAGAACTGGCCTTACAGGATTAATATACGTCGGGTTTAGAATTATATCAAAGCTGTGGTATCGTATCAAATGTCTATCAAACCAAAGGTTTTTAGTGCAGTGCTATCCCTCTATTATGTAACGTAAAATGAGACATATTTGCTCCAGACAGCGCAAGTGAATATCGGATATTTGGAGTGAACGATCTGCAACACACAACTCGCTGGTTAGTAGTTAGACAGTGACCCTACACGACTTGTCTACCATCAATTAGCCACGTGTTTAAGGAGATGTAAGTGAATGTTTACAACCACTTGTGAAAATTAATATACACTTGGATGACATGAACAGATAAATATTGACAATTTAAATTATCCCAGGATTTAAGCAAGGTTGCTATCATAACACAAGACGTCGTTTGTGACGTGATCAAGAGGGCGAGTATACTGTACAAAACAAACACTGGTCCGTTGTTTTCTCTTGTTTAAAACAATTTCGTTTGAACGAAGCCACTTCAAAGTTTGTTTATTAAAAAGCGAAATGTTTAATGAATTAATTTCTTGGAACACAGAATGAATTGGATGAACGAAGGAACATTATAGCACACGGATAAAAATCGAACTTATTTATTATTTTAAGAGTGGAAGGAATTAAGATTTGGTGATTTATTTGGAATTACTACCGAACTATATATATATTATTCATGACAGTTTCATATTATCTACTGGAAAGTTGTGAGTTTCATCCATATCCAGTAACTTGGACTACAATACATTACAAGACGTGTCACATGTCTGGTATTCAGTGATAATACTAGGTACAGACCCTGTGATAAAGCTGGTGATGTTATTTTCTCATTAGGTTAAATGTCAGGGAAGAAATGCTTCCTTAGTTTGTCCGTCAATGACACAATTCATCACAATACGACATTTAGCGATCATTCTGTCTTTCGAAAGTGATCAAACAATTGTGTCATCATGGAATTTCTTTTCCTTTAGGAGAATATTGCATTTCTGATCTACGAGTGCATTGTTCATTTTACGCCGTCAAGGTTAAAATTATGGCATGAGATCGCTGGTATTCTTGAATATCTTAAGACACAGTCAACTTTGTGACCCATGATCAGCCTACCTTTTTCCAGTATACGTTAGGACAGTGGACAGATAAATAGTGGATGAAAGCGCTTCTTTAACAGACAGGTTGTTGGAGAATATTTTAACAACGCTCCGCAAGAACATTCCTCCTATTTCTGATTTTTGATGGAAAAATTGTAGACTGGAATATACTGCATAAATTTTTTCTAGCTTTGTTTCAAGTCATCTACAGAGCTATATTGAAGTGTTCCAACAGTCATGACGATGTATGTTGGGTATGGAAGTCGCAAGCCTGTGAACCTTAGTATTCTAGAGATGGTTGGCATTCTTAATGAACGATACCCTACTGACGTAAGTAATGTAATCTTATATACTTGTTTTAATGTTGTAGTTAATATTGTAGGTTGCACGTGGATGGCTGTGAGGTCGAAAAATGGCGGTTTCGGTCAGTCTGGACTTGCGAGACATTCGGAAGACACAGAATAGAGTGAAATGTCTAATAAAAGTAAATGAAGTTAAAGATGTCCAGCAGTATCCGGTCAGTAAATTCAGGACTCTCACTTGTGTAGAAAATTGCACGAATGAAAATGAAATCCGTAACTTGTAGAACGATTTACAGATCAATGTTGCTATCTCTCCGTCTCTTTCTCTTTTCATCGTTCTATTTCTACCATTGAATGTTTAAGCACCTGTCGTTTTTCACATATTACACAGTAAGTTTCTGTCTAGAACTTAGGTGTAACCAGGAATATTTCATACTAATATCATGATACTAACAGTTATAACTTATAGTACAATTCCTAACCTATGTTCATGCTATAATGGAAAATATTCTAATCTTTATGTCGTATTGATATCAACATTAACTAGTTAGTGTTAATATGCAGCCAGAAAATTGTACTCAAAGTTATTTTACACGTGCACGTATTTGTTAAATTCACTATTTTTTTCCGTCATGCACTTACTATCAATTTGATTACACTACTAGAAGTGTATCTCTGCTATTTGTAACGTGTTTTATTTTTCCTTCAGTATATCAAAGTGTTGATATTTTTCACATTTTATTCAACATCTTCGTAAAAATAACATCAAGCCAATGTATTAAAAGTGACGAATTAGTATTTTATAAGAGCAACGATCTTGCATTGGCAGGGCGGCTTTTACAAGAATTAAAAGATAAAATATTACCAAAAAATTGTCACGAAATAACAAATTAAAGGAATTGATCACGGACAATTAATATTTGGCAAAGAAGGTGACGTCTTTTGAAATCTGACGGAAATATTCCTTTAATTGATAGATAACATTATGGAACACTTTAGACCTCCTTATCAGCACTTTAAATCTTAGTCTCCCTTTATGTTCCATTAACTTTACTGTATTCAGTCGTATCTACCTAGCCAAACACTTTTGTAATCTTTTAACATCTTTTAACTACAGTCATTCAAAGTATACGTCTCTGTACAGGTATCAGACAGTGTAAAATTGCCTCCGTATCGTTTACATGTAACTTCTTTTTAAAAAAATTATTTTACGTTATTAGATATACAACACTCATGTAATTATCAATTTTATGTCATTTACAGGTAAGCTGCAAATAGTTAAATATTGGAGAGACACTGTTTTGTTAACGACAGTTTAACAATTTGATGAATTAACGTTTTTGTGTTAATGTTTGTAGCATCTGACTTGAGTTACTTATCATTTGTCAAATAAGACAACAAAATACTTAATTATTAAGGTCTACATCACGTGTATCCGTTATCGTTTGATTTTCTGACAAGCTCCATATACCGTTACTTAGTCTTACTGACTGGGCGTACTCGGTTTGTGTACACTATATCCGTCTGACTAGGCGTACTCGGTTTGTGTACACCATATCCGCCCGACTGGGCGTACTCGATTTGTGTACACCATTTAAATCAGACTGGGCGTACTCAGTATGTGTATACAGTTAAGGTCCACCTATTGCGACAACACAATACGATCGTATCTCTCACAGAAGTCTGATATGGTTTTTAAAGGCAAATGTTCTGGGTATTTTTTTCAAAATGTAAAGCCATAATTTCATGATCAGTTATAAAGCACGTAACCTACTGAAATTGATTTCGCGGCACTTATTTCGTGGTCCCTTTAATCTACAGTGCGTTGAATAAGCTTTAATATCAGTTGTATTGTCGCAGGTTAAAATACCAAGATTCTCAGATAAATGCTCAGGTTTCAGAAAATAAGATACTCTATCTATAGTAAAAAGGTGTACCTGGAAATGGATTAAATCTTAAACTGATTATAAGAATCATAACCATTGAAAGCAATATAAAGATAATTTATTGGTGAAATATAGCGCTAAAAAGTGACTATATTACAGCTATTATGTGTTGATAAACCGCTTTCTTGAGTATGATCTAGTTTCACTTTTGCATTTCCTTTTTTTAATAGAATTAAATCGCTGTATTACCGGCGCATTTTCCCTGTAAATTCGTATTGTTTAAAAAAAGTTTTAACAACATTTTTTTGATGAAGATTTCACTTAGCCATTTATGAATTATGTGTGTATTTGTGTTTTATATACGTGTATGTACTTGATAATGACATATTTAAGAGACGTATCGATGTATGTGGCAAATAGTGTATATCAGTAGTAGTATTGTTAGTTTTGGAACAACGCTTACGCATTTATACAATTGCTCGAGACGGGGTGAAAAAAAATTGGAGAACATCTCTTTAAGCCTTCACCACGTGTTGAAACTACATATTCATAAGACAAAATGTAGGGTTTTTTACACACGTATTATATCGTGTACAATATACATATATTATTTATTGTGTAAATCTGTACCAATCTTTTCACTGACTGGTCAACTTGACATAACATTAATCAATGTAGACACCATTGTAAAATTATTAAAACTGATTTATTAAAAGTGTTTCTGACATAACATTTAAATGTGCCCTCATCATATAAAATTACACATTTATTTTTTATTTGCGAAAATATCTAAAAGGAATGAATTATCCTACATTAAGCTAATAATGTGTGGTAGAATAGGGTCGAAGAGAAATTTTGAACCACTAAGTCAGCTTAACGATATAACAGTGAATTTTTGTGGTAAGTGATTATCATCCTACGTTTCTTAATTAAAGGAACCTTCTGATAGCCACTAATAAATTGTATTAGCTTTTAGTTTTACAGAAACTGTGATGTCTATTTTATAACAACGGAGTGATTCGACAAACAACATGTAAACGGGCACTGAACCGTGTTAAATTTGCTAGCTTAACATCAAGCACATCGATTAGATCCATATAATTGTATCTAAAAACCGAAATCAAATTAGTGCTTTTGTGAAAAAAGTAATTTGTTAATAACAAAAGTCATCATTTTTTTTACCTTTTTTGGATATTTGAAAAATTCTTTCTAAGTCCAATATTGAAGTTTTATAAATTTGTACAGGTTCTCTTTGGGAATAGAAAATCATTGATGCATGACCAAACACTTTATTTAACAAATCATCGATAATCTATTCGAGCCAAAACTCTGAATGAACACGTTATGTACTTGTGTTAAATGTAAAACAATACCCGCCAAAGTACACGACATATATGACAATAGATAATGAGTTTTTAACAATGGTTCGTCATTTAAAACAATGTTTCTATATAAGCGCTGTGTAACTATTCTATGTAATAAAACAGGTTTCAGAGATGGTGTTAAATTGCCAGATATCACACCTTATCCTTACTTCTCACCGGTGTCACGACCATGTCGGGAGTTAACCAACAGTCTGAAAACTAGTGATATTCACAAATCAATCTCGTATGATGTAGAAACAGTGAGATTGCATTTTTTCTTAAACCAAAATGTCTTTTGGGGAATTTGATAATCATTTTGATATATATTGAAATCATTATGTATTAGTGACGGTAACACTATAGGAAGTTATTCTTATCATTTATAAAAAGTCAAAATTACCAGCAATATCATGGATGGATACATGGATTCTTACATCACCCGGAATTATTGTCTGTTTGGTCATAGGATCAAACCCAAACCACACCAGGAGGTAGGTGATATGTGGAAGACCTGCTATTATAGGACCATATATTACTAGTGTTATCTACTGTAATTATTTTTCTATTATTGTTGTATAAATACTTTGTTATAATAATATGATATCATTTACATATGTTTTAAATGTTTCAAGTGACGCCCTTAAATTCAAAGAAACGATCGTACGGAAAATATATGTTGACTTTTAGGCGTTATTAACCTTTAATATAAAAATGTGAAATTTTCATCAACCATGATTTTAATTCATTCAAATAGTGACACGGTTCAGAATATACACTCTGGGGCAAATGCATCCCTCTATCTAAATTTTACATTTTTTTCGATCACTTTAGATATTTTCAAGTCGCCTCCCAGGTTTCAAAGTTTAAGTCCTTAACATCACTGACGAGTCCTGGAAGGACGAAACAGATGTATTATGCAGTTTAATTTACTATTTGGCTGTACTGTATATAATTCTAAATTGTATTAGTAGGTGCTGTTCTTGTGTGTGTCTTCTGTATAATTGATTTCGAGATAAATCTATAATATCGATTGATTATTGATTATTGATAACGGAAACAAACCTCGGTCGGTAGCGTGTATATAACTAGTAATATCGTGAATATTATAGGAACTTCGTTTAAAATATGATTCAAGGTTATCGTTATTCTTAATTATTAAAGTTACTTTAGACTGTTACCATAGTACATTTGTAGAAGAATTCACTAACTTCGTGTTCTTCAATTTCAAGTGTACTTAGCACAAAACACTATACCCTTGAAAGCACTTAGTACTAAACATTATACCCTGTTTGGAAGCACTTAGGACTAAACACTTTACGTTATTTGGAAGAATTAAGGACTAAACACTATACCCTATTTGGAAGAATTAAGGACTAAACACTATACCTTAATTAGAAGCACGTAGGACAAAACACTATCCTTATTTGGAAGTATATCAAAAAGAAAAGAATGTAAGAATAGAATATTTATTAAAATGTCACCCATATTTCACATAAATATACATAATACGTATGTATATGAAATAATTCCAGCCATAAATTGACTTACGAGACACTGAAATTCATATTAGTAAAAAAAATGTAAGATTAGATATTAAATAAAACGTGAAATTGAACACTTATGGTCAGATCCGATGAGGTGAGAAGTGCGGGCGTGGTTGGGATAGTCCGTACCGATAGGTCGCCCATCCCCCACCATCGGAATCTTGATAACCTTGTTACTATATCATATATCATTTAAAATACTGATAGACACTGAAAGATGAAAGTATCGTAATTAAGACGATCAATGTTGGAGACCGTAGATGATTGACCGTAACTGCTATGCCAATATTGTAAAGTTGGCGGATATACACAATTAGTTATCGTCCGTCGTTTCGTCCGTGACTTCATCTGTTACAGTTTTGATGCCAGTAAATATAACAGTAACTATTGCTATACAATTTTCTAATCAAGCAATGGTTCGTCCTTTCCTGACATCATGAGAGCATGTGATCCTATGTCACATAACGGTATCTTCAGAGCATACCGCAAACTGCTGGATAATGTCACAAGTCTCCACACAAACATATGACATTGTTTTGATGAAATATTCGTATTACGTTTCTTACATGAACAACAGTCTCATATTTGCATCATGTTCAATTTCAACCTATGATAACGTGATGCATTACATATAATCAAATCAATAAACTGTATTGTAAGTATATCTATCTATAGGCTGGGGTTTGACATCATTTTAACAAAGGTACAGCTGTGTTTTGAAATTTGCGGCGGTATATCATGAATATGCTGTCGAAAATTGAGTTTTACTGGCGACGTGCAAAGGACACAGAAAAAAAACCCGGATATTTGTTGACAGCATAATACAAATTTTAAAACTTTAAAGAGTTAACCGTATTCTAATTCATCCGTGGAAAAAACACGATATTTAAATGCCACTTCTGTGAATTATTTAAGAAATTTGGATTTCCACTCTTAGGATTTGTGACGTCAAAATCGGGCAGTCATTCGGGAACACATTCTAGTCGCTGGTGTCGTAATTTAAGGATATGTTGGAGTTAGTCGAGGTTTTAGACTTCACAATCACTTGTCAGCCAGACTAAATAAGCAAACGAGAAGTCTGTATACGGCGTTGTCTGGTTAAACTGTCGCAAATTATTCATTTTTTTAATTGACCAATCAAATGTCGTGTTACATTTCAATTTCGAAACAGTTATAACGTAAATAGACTATCCGTTCCATTCTAATAAATACATATGTTTACTTTACAGATACGGCGCCGGCCTCTCCCTCCTGGCTTCTGCTATGTTTGCAGTCGACTTGACCCCAATGCACGCCACAAAATTCCCAACGGATACCTGTTCGCGAAAGGTTTTTTCTCTTACTGTGAACACATGCAACCACCTCGACCACCGTATCCAACGTTTATTGAGGATGATAAGGATATCGATATTCCTGTACTTCCTCCGGAACATCTCGTAAACAAAGCTCCCGGACAGCCACATGCTAATCCAAACGTCAATTTAAGTGTTAGTGTGACCATAAAAAACAAAAATTCCCCGTCACCAGAACAAAAATATAGCAAAAAGTATTTTGATACTGCCGTCCTTAACGGTGTAGAGGACTATGATTATGACTATAATGATGACAGATACAGACTTCCGCCTGTGTTTGATAAGGACACTCCGGAAAATGGAAAACACATTTTACATGCGGGTGATAAAACATTTGCAGAGGCCGGATCACAGAGGGAGGAGGAGTACACATATCTATCGGACGACGATTTCAAAGTTCCTTATTTACCATCTCTTTCTAGCAGCAAAAACATTACATCGATTCACGATGACCCAACATCAAAGTCGCCCTCACGTTCAACGAAAATGCGACATGTTGTGAAGAAAAAGCAGAGGGTCAAGAGAGATGTCGACAAGACCGCGAAATTTCAAACCGGTGAAATGTTACGACATCATGACGATAGCGAAGATGAAGAAGGTGTACTGAAATACAACCACAGAGACGAAAACTCGTCTCTTCCGAATGAAGGATTGGAAATGGCGCCTTCTCGTGATAATTCAAAATTAAACTCAGGGGAACCTGAAACATCCTTTGGTATACCGGAAGTGCCAACCGATGGACCGGAAGTGACGTTTGGTGACAGGAGGAGATCGCATCAAGAGAATCCGCCATCGATGACCATTCAGAAAATCGGATCACCGGAACTATGGTGTGAGTGCACAGATATTGACCTTAGCACACTCAAGTGTGACGAATGTGGGATCATAGGCGGACACGGGAATTGGTGCACGTTCGCGCGTTCTGCATCTCGTCACGGTAAATGTCCAAGATGTGGTAAGAACGTTCGCAAAACGAAGACACTTAATACACAAGATGTTAAGGCAGACACCAAACGTAAACTTAGTTTTACCCGTAGAATGTCGAAAGTGACGATGAGGTCAGATGATTCTGACATGTCACGTAAACGTCCTCTCAGTGACACACCGCTCGCGTCAGTGAAGGCCACGGGACTACACGTGCGTTTTGAGGACGATAAGGATAGCATACACGCGGAAAAACATGTAGAGGGTTTGAGAAGTAAGACCGTTACTGACGAGGACTACAAGAAGTATGATAAGGCATACCAAGACTTTGTCTACAATCGCGAGGGCTGGACAGAACAATCTGATTATTCTGACGATGAGGATTTCGAGGAATATCCGCCAAGAGTGCATCCACGTGTCGACCCAAACATACACCGGGACGCTTACTACCGCGCCATAGCGGCTAGGAGTCTGGAAAAGTTAAAAAAAATGAACGAAGTGGATGAAAAATTCGCTGCCGATAGAATAAGTAAACCTCATGTGTTTTCGTATTTCAAACTTCGACCACATCAGAAGAATTCTTTACCGGGCGGTCCCGATAACATAGGCATTCTTCCGTCCGAGTCCGCCAATGTTCGGCCTCGTAAAGCTATGCAACACATATTCGGTAAGATCAAAGTAGACGACTTCTATCCTGGAGGAAAGAGAAATAAGTCACAAGTATCAGTGTCCTACTCTAAAGAGAAACATAAGCAAACGATGCCAATTAACAAATGGACTAGAGGTGGTATAAATGGATGATGGACTATCTTAGAATTTATTTATTCAGCAACAAATGACGCGTAAACAAGTTTACGCGTGCATTGTAACAATATTATTTTATATATTAAAAGCAGATATATTTGTATAATTATAACCGTCGTTTGTCGGATGAAAGATCTTGTATGGAATCTCATTTTTCTCATGTCAATATCAAAAGTGCGGAGTCAACTTTTTGATTGGCTACGAACTGACCAATCATAAGGATGATAGGTACTTGGAAAACTTTTCTATAAGCCTAAAATCTGTTCTAAGATTGAATAGGGCATCGCGATTCATAAATATCTATAATAATTAAACACAGATAAAATACACGTGCATGACAAAATTTTATCTAATTCAACTGAGTATTCCGCAAGGCGATTACATAAGTACCCATGATTCTGTCTTAAGAAAATTTGCAGTGGAGTCGTATTTAGACTGAAACCTGTGATAAACAAATGAAAATTTGCAGGAACGTCTCTGTATTTTATGGAAAATAATATTTGGAAATATGTCACAATTGTAAGAAAGTTTCGTTCTATCGAATGTTAATGTCAATTTTAAAAATCGTCCTATTCTTTTTCAATAAAATATTGCTCGTTATATGACTAATAAGTTTGTTTAACAATTTTTACAAAATCAATTTGATGCTCTTATATTTTTTAATCTGATATGCAATCAATTTAATAGTTGAAATATCACTATATATTATTTGGTTTGTTAGTTTATTCTGGAAAATAAATGTTTAACATTGAACATGCCTTGTTTTTGTTGGATTTCCTCTTGAAACCCACCACACGGTAAGCGTACAAATTGGTTATACTTGGTTACAAACCAAAGTCTCCTACTAGAATGATGATAACACTGATATAAAAAAACAGCTTTTAATTAATTAATTAATTAATTCAATACATGCATTTCCTGTGATTTGTGATAATCCCACCCCTTTCTTTGACCCCTTAAACTACCGATGTTTATTAAACTATTGAAGGAGCTTCAAAATAAATGAATGTCCTAACTGTTCATTGTGAAGATGTTTAAGTGTAAGTATGAACGTGCTGTGTCGTCACGTCTGTATCACGTGTTCATTTCACAAAACAGGAGATGCGAAATACAGGATTAGGTATTCGACCAATGATTACGACGAAAATTTAACATAAAGTAGGAGTTATCATGTAAATGTACGAAAGAAAAAAGTTTTTAAACACCAAGCGAAAAAGAGGAATTCAGCACGTAAAAAAATAAAAATTCTTTTGTATCTGTACGCATGAAAATGAATTTGAATGTCCTAGTGAATGTGAAAACGTAATGCATTGCAAGATAAAATAACACGAATGCACCAGAAGACCACCTAATTCATTATAATGAGTCATTCATTATACACAAAATATATAGATATATAGGACCTTTGTCTCTAAGCATTACTAACTACACATCATACCGGAAGTTTACAGATGCTTGTTTAGTGAAGCACCCTATAAAGGTCAGAGGCCATAGGTCAATATTCCAAGTGTAAGATGAAATCATACTGTACCTTAGTAAATAGCTCAATGACCCGATCATCAAACTATCATGTATGTATATACTTTGTATATTTATTTTACGTCTATTAGACAATAGCTAGACCCGCCTACAACGAAGCAGACGATTTTTAGCTCCTAATGGCTCACCACCCTAAATGTTTTATATTTCCCATTTGCTCTCGTTAAGTCGATTTTGTCAAAACGATCGGTTTGTAGATGTCGTTAATTTACAGAAAAAAAATAACAAGCAAAATATGTTTATGAAACAATTTCCCCGGTTGTAGCAATATTTTGATACCGCCAGAAAGATTTTTTTTCAAGGAACACATATACCAAATATGAAAAATATACCTCTTATGAGGCAAAAGTTATGGGCCAATGTTCATTTTTTTTCAAATGTAGGTCAAAGTTCACGGTCAAGGTCACGTGGTGAAAAAGTTTGGTACGACCTGAAAGGTCTTGTGAAAAGAAATACACATGTCAAATAAGAAAGCCCTGGCTCTTACGGCGCAATATTTATAGGCAAGACAGACAGACAAACAGAGAGCACAAAAACAATATGGCCCCGATCTTTCGATCCAGGGACATAAAAAGTAAAAACAATGTCAATTCAAAGTCAAGCACAATGTCTGGGTTACATACATGGGTCAAAGGTCAAACATAGCCATACACTTAACTTGAAACGCACGGAAACTTTATTGAAACGCACACCTTCCCATTGAAACAAAAACAACACGGATGATCACATTAGCGACACGCTTGGTCATGTCTGTCACACCTCATATTTCTAGAGGTTTCTTTAACAAATAAATGTAAAATCAGACCACAGTCGTCGTTAGAGTTGTTATTGTTGTTGTTGTTTCTTGACCAAACAATATTGTAAGTATGCTTTTGTGCATATAACACAATGTTTTTCAATTATACTTTGTCCAGATGAAAAGGCATTTTGGTAACAGTTAAAATTTGTGAATTTAACATAAATGGCTTAGCGACTAGACAGCGGGATGTTAAAGGGTATCGTGCGCTGACCCTCTAACTTGTGCGTATCCTGTCAAAATTTCTGAATATTTGTTAATCGTTTCACAGGTGGAAATTTTTTGAAACAGGTCACACACAGATATCTTCAGTGTTACTTTTGCATTTAATGTTCTTGTTTGTTTAGTGGCAGCAAATTGAATTCAGCAACCGGGGTCTAGAGTCTTTCCACACAGGTAACCACACATACATTCAGCAACCGGGACCTAGAGTCTTTCCACTCAGGTAACCACACACACATTCAGCAACCGGAGTCTAGAGTCTTTCCACACAGGTAACCACACACACATTCAGCAACCGGGGTCTAGAGTCTTTCCACTCAGGTAACCAGACACACATTCAGCGACCGGGGTCTAGAGTCTTTCCACACAGGTAACCACACACACATTCAGCAACCGGGGTCTAGAGTGGAGCATATGTTTTGAATTGCACTTGGTTAAATGACATCCCGAAGGATTATTCGGCTTTCGCGAATGAAATCCGCCATTGCATTCCGTAAAGATCAGAATATGTGTCACCAATTGCAACAAAATGGAGCCCGTATCAAACGATACAGTCAACTAGGGTTTCTTGGAGGCCATATATACTGAGAGGAAAAAGAAACGCAATTAACAGAAAAGTTAATACTGTAAATTAAATCCTTGACGTAAAACCTTGAAACTGTCAAAATGTGTGCATTTGAGTTAGGTCCCTATGGTACCGTATTAAAATCACTGATGCATAACTAAACTGCGCTCGCCGCTTATACAAAAGAACAAGAGACAAAAGCACGATATCTCGAACCGAGTATAAAGGATTGGTTCAAAATCTGTGTGTGCGAATCTTCAGACATGTCCGTCTTGATTTCCCACATTTTAAGCTCACTGTAAAAAATGCCACGACTGTCCGAAGTTGACAGGGGTCGTGCCATTGCACTTCTTATGCAAGTTACCCCGCAAAATCAGGTCGCTAATCAATTTGGAGTCCATCCATTGAACATTTGCCGTCTCATCCAAAGACTACATGCCACCGAAAGGGTTGCAAACCGTCCCCGAAGCAGTTGCCCTCGTGTGACGACGCGTCGGCAGGATAGGGCAATGCGACTTTCGCATCTACGCAATCCCTTTCTGACGGCCACGGAAACAGCAAGGAACACAATTGGGCGTCATCATGTTCTAATTGATCCAAAGACAGTGCGTACTCGACTGCGTGCCTTCGGTCTAAGACCGCGGCGGCCATATGTTGGACCACAGCTTAATGCGTGGCGACGTGCCAGACGAATGCAATGGCTGAACGCACATTCCGTAAGACGCTTCCCAATGTAACGTTGTAGAAGGATCCTGTTCTCAGATGAGTCCAGGTTTTCGCTTTACTGGGCAGACGGCCGACATCGTGTCTATAGACGTACCCACGAGCGCTATGCAGATGCTTGTGTGATAGAGAATGACCGCTTTGGAGGAAGATCGGTCATGGTATGGGGAGGGATTGCGCATGGTATCAAGACTCCTCTGATCGTTATTCAGGGAAATCTCACGACCGTCCGCTATAGAGATCAAGTCCTAGCGCGCACGTTGTTCCTCTAGTACAGCAGCGTCAACTGGCGTTTCAGCAGGACAACGCCCGGCCTCATGTAGCGAGGGTTTGCCGTGGTTATCTCGCAGCAAACAATGTCCCCACCCTAGACTGGCCCCCATACAGCCCAGACCTCTCCACAATAGAACATTTATGGGACGAGTTGGACAGAAGGATAAGACGTAGGCCGAATCCTCCAAACAACGTCGCTCAGTTGGCCTTGGCGCTGGATGAGTAATGGAATCGTATACCAATGAGGAGGGTTAATACCCCGATCAATTCAATGCACACAATGCTCGCGGGAGAGGAGGAGGGGGGGGGGGGCGCACACAATATTGATGGTCCAGAACGCACTTCATTTTGAGTAGGGGGTACACTTGAATCAACGTCAAATTTGAAAGGTTTACTTAACGTACACAAATGAAATTCTCGCAGATGACAGAGTGGTCAACTATCTTCCAGTTACACCATAATTACATTCTAAAACCCTTTTCGATATACCGTGGTTGACCTGGAAATTCCTAATTGCGTTTCTTTTTCCTCTCAGTATACAATATTTAGTGTGATACCTAAAGTCACTTTGATCATCAGGCCAAGACCGACAGCGGAAATAACTGGCGTAGTCTGTCTCGTGATTGTAGTCACAAACGAAAGTCGAGCACGGTCCGTGTAGGTAATGACCTGGCTGCAACATATTACTACTGTATATAACACTAGATACATATCAGGAGCCATTGATGTAGGATAAGACTAGCATAATTAATATTCTTTGCAGATGACGAAATAGCTTTTTCCGTTTGTTTTTATGATCATCCCACAGCAGGTCAAAGAAATTACTAGAAAAATGATTAAAGTTACACTTCATCTTGATTACAAATAAAACAAGCTATATATGTCTGGTTTTGTATACATATGGATTTTTACTGGTCGTATATAGTATGTGCCTGTTGGTACTTTTAAGGTTGACAAACAAAGCGGAACGCCGAGGTATGTCTGCAAAGGGTCTGTCACACCTACACGTCCTTGCATGGCGTTCAAGCGACGTTCTTGAAGTTCTCAAAAATTGACTAGGACGTGGCAAGAACGTGGGATTTTTTGCGAAAATTGGGATGCCGGTAATTAATTATGCGTGTTATATACATTGACATTTAATGCATTAATGTACTTGTACATATGTTTTTAATATTGTTTGTTTAATATTTTCATGTGTCTTATACAAACCTGGTATAAATCTCTGAGGACCTGATATGGGAAACTGAAATTGAGGAAATCGGGGGATGGGGCTAATCAGCTGACTGATCGCGAAAAGTGGGTGCTGCAGAAATTTTCCTTCTTGGAGGGGCATATCCATAGAGTACAGACATGGTCCCTTGTCAATGTAAGCATATTATTACATTATCTGTAGTTGTATTTTTAAGAACTCCATGTATATTTCATGTATATTTCAATATAACGCACTTGTAGCGTTTTCTGTATTACTCATGTTTCTCTTCTCATTTATCGTAACAGATCAGGGCAAAGATAGCTGGTGATACTGGCGGGTCTGCAGGTGATGCTGTATAATTATCCAGTGATGATGAGGGATCTGTCACTGGGACTGCTGAGACGTCTAACACCACACTTAAATGTCAAACACAGACACGTATTCTCGTCCATCCAAAGGCAAGGCTAAACTGAAGTCAAGAAGTGCTGTTGATGACGAAGATGTTCTGGTCGGTAGAATGAGTGAGAAGATCGAGTCTTCCTGCCAACTTCAGGAGAAGGTAATGGCCATGTCGAAGGTGACAGAGAGGACGACATTTGCTGACTTTCTGAAAACTGGTATGGAGAGCATCCATGCAACTCTCTGGAGAGGCTTCCAGCGTGAATGTTCCAGTTTACTGTGGCGTTACCAGGACCAGAGTGAACAGCTCAACAACTCTAATTGCCAACCTCAACCAGCACACAGCTTCCAGCAGTCCTCCTAGATGCAACCTCTGTCTTCCCAGTGTCCACAGTTTTCCCAATTGTGGCAGCTTCATCCTACTCAATGGCCTTCTGGTCCAATACCAGGAAGTGTGTGGCAGTCCCAGTCTAAAGAGTGGATGCAGGCTCAGACCACAAGTCAGAAGTTCTCGAATTCACAACAAGAACCAACATTTGTCCAGATGTATGCACGTTCGCGTTGTCAGTACGTCATGGACGTTTGAGGTACGTTCGTTCGAAGTTTACAACTAGTCCCTACCCCGTTCTGGCCAGAGCGCGTTCGTACCACGACTGTTTTGAACAGTTCAAAACCGTCACCGCGGCTTGGCATTCGAGGAAGTTCTTTTGCGCCCCCTTCAAGTTCCGAACAAGTACCAACAAGTCCTTAAGCCGTTCTCAACGTTCCCACCATGTTTTACCATTTTTTCTCGGTCGTAGTATGAACGCCATGCAAGGACGTGTAGGTGTGACAGGCCCTTAATGATGGCCACATAGTAAGTGAACAATTTCCTTAAAGATAATGAAATTAGTATCCGATGAAAACATATATAAGGAAGTATTAGAGAAAGGAAATTCATAATTCTAAGTAAACAATAAAACAATGGACGACTGGATAAGTGGATCAAAACATCGTGTACATATCGTTTATAAACTTCATCAGTCCGAATCATATTACGTCATCTCTCTCAATGACTTGTTTAGTTTATATCCGTTTATAAAGGAAGTCATTCCAAGGTATATTATTCGGAAATCACTCGAGAATTTCCTCAATATTTTAAATGAAATGTCTGCAAGCCCGACAACGTGCACATTTTACAAAATATAACGTGATTCATTATTCTATTATTTTTTGGTTTCCTTAGTAATTGACAATCAGTATCATATGTGCATTAATCCAATTCTTTTCTTTTACTCAAAAGAACTTAAAGTGTTTGCTCTGTCCCACTGAATCAAACGCTGCATGCAGGTTATGGCAATTATAGGGGATATAAATCCACCGGAAGAGAACGTCACCTACAACAAGCACTACACTTGTTTATATTATACAGATAAAGAAATAATAACAATGAAATATTACTTATTTATTTCGAATCTAAGATTTAATACAGTTGGAATACAAGCCATTCTCAAAAGTTCATGTTTACAAAGAAAACGCGAGTGCCAACAAGTCCCATTTCTTTGTCATGAAAACAGTTCCTTTAAAGAAAGAACGACAAGAAAATACCAACATGTCAACATTATCATAATCCAAATTCAAATTCAATAAAATAGGGCAAATTATGAACAAAAGATAGATTTTCATGGAGACGTATGAAAAAGTACAAGGAGAATAAGACCAGATGTTCCAGAGGAGTGTGCGCCTTCTGCGTCATCGACGACACCCGCCATGTAAACCTTGGTCAATCCAAGTACGTAATGTCACGTTCTCAAATGAGAACAAGGCATAAAACAACGAAACCAACAGACAAACTAAGGAACCTCCGACAAGGCCATCTTCATATCGCACAAACATAAAAAATATTTCTCAATGATGGCGACCATAAAACTTTCCCATTATTTTCATCAACCTGCATCTTTTGAAATCCTGTGTTACGAGTTTGCCCGTCAGATGACGACTTCTTGCATGGAAATCGTGATGATGGGAAAAGACTCTAGAATATCGAATCAACCACAGGTTGGAGATGCAGGGATGTTGCTATCCAGAAATGGAAAATTCACAACAGTGAAACTGAAATCATCACGTTTATCATACAGCTTGGTGGAAAGCTATCCATATTGGTTTCGTATAGGAAATGATGAAGATGAAGATGTAGAAGAGTCTGTTGTGTCCTTTATTTCAAACTCTGATGTGTATATGCAAAGGACGTTGTCAATACATGTCTTCTTATTTAAAGACATGACGTCATCAAAATATTGAAATCAAACGACTTTGCAAGGTCTTAATGACCTGTTTTGATAAAGTCTTCAATAAATTCAACTCCAATGAAAACGAAAATATCTACCCAGCAGAAGGCACAGTTCTTATAGATATGTCAATAGTCTGTTGGATAATCTTATAAATGGTATTCTGGTCATTCACCACGACTATCTATGCCAACATATATATATATATAAATCATATTTTCTCATAAGTGATGAATGTTGTAAGTATATAAATTTCAATAACACGAAATCACACTCACCAGTAACGTATAAAAGGATTTTCTAAAGGATTTCATTACTGCAACTGTTTGAAGACTGACTTCATTTCAGAGCTAAGGAACGTAAGTATCAAACTATACCATGTATACACTAAAAATCAACATCCTGACGTCACAATGAAGATCACACGTATGGGATCAAGATGACATTGGAAAGCATGTTTACAGCGGTAATTTTTAATAATAATTGATCATGTGATTAAAAACTCATTTAGTTAATATTCCATATATAATTTATATAGTTTTATGCCTATCTATAAATAGGCACAACAGTATATACATGTTTATGAGAATATACGACTTTATCAAGTAATTAATTAGAATGGAATTACCATTTTATATTCATGAATATTCTAATGGCTTAATAAGGTATATGCTATTTTCGCGTTATTTACAGTGTATAAATTCATTTGTTAAATATTATATTCAAATTAGTTTGAAAGTTAGGTATGATACAAAATAGTCTTCTTCAAAGAGTAAAATACGAATATTTCATTTTCTATCGAATGTCAAATATCCGTTTTGCTATAACGTTGAGTAAGACCCTGTGTTATTGCTATACTCTATCATACTTTGTCACATGTCAGCTATTTCATTTGTATAAGCCAATCTTCAACAAATGTCAAACATCCTATATAATATTCTCAAGTATTCATAAAATCGGAAATCCGGTTTTGTAATGTCAACAATGGGAAACTTGAACCACTACAACATATCTTTACCACAGCAAAGTAATATGTTTGCCGCTACAACTTGAGATGTTTAACACGACAAAAGAGAGATGATTTTTACCACGACAAAGGGAACCACGACAAAGGGAGATGCTTATCACAACAAAGAGAGATGCTTACGAGGAAGGGAGATGTTCACTAAAACATATCTTTACCACGACAAAATAAGATGCTTACCACAACTGGAGATTTTGATCACGACAAAGGAATATGCTTACGACGACAAAGGGATATGCTAAGACGATGCATGGAGATGTTTACCACGGCACATCTTTACCACGACAAAAGGAGATGCTTACCACAATAAAGAAGATTTTTGCTGCGGAAGATGTTTATCACAAAAGGGAGATGTTTACCACAATTGGAAATTTTACCACACCAAAGGAAGATGTTCACCACAACAAAGGGAGGTGTTTACCAAGCGAAAAGGAAATGTTTACCACGACAAAAGGAGACGCTTACCACAAAAAAGAGAAATGTTTACTAAGACAAAAGGAAGTCCGTTAGCACAAGAATGAACACTGATACTTTTCTTGTTGAATGTGTGAAAAGTAATGAACATGATTTCGAATCATGCATAATATTTTTAACAACATTACCTGCAGGTACATGAAGGTCAGTGCTTAACAGCAAAACATTTTAAAATTACAGATCTCAGCGTCATTTTACATGCGTGCCGAAATCTTCTATCAAATATACTGTATATGATAGGGTTCACAGCACAGTTAGCGAAGTAGGACCTCAGAAAGAAGCGGTAAGCAGTCCTGGCGGCGTCGTTGTTCTGTAAGCTGTCTACAAAGTCATCCTTGAGTTCTCTGAGGATGATAAGTATCAGATATGGTACAAAGTTCAAAATGAAAACCATGGATATAATAAACATCAAATACGTGGTACTTCTCGCCAGATTTTTTTTCAGTTGGTGTGTGTCACGTGAGGTTTTCCGGTTGTTTGACGGGAGCATGCTACTTATTGGAGATTTCAGGGTTGATATTTTTGAGATGGAACTATTATTTGTATCTGATAGAGTTCGTTTTTTGGCGAGAGAATCCTTTTGCACAGCTTGACTTTTCACAAGACTTTTTGGCGTGTTTCCAATCGTTTCCCCTGTCTCAACTTCATAAACAGCATTGCCCTCTTTACTTCCAGAATCATTTTTGCTCTGCAGATCTTGTTCTAAATCAACATTTCCCGACAGACATGGCTCCCTGTCAATGGCCAGAACGATTTCCGGTATATTTTGTTCACTGTCAAGTGTCCGAACGATTTCCGACATACTTTGTTCTCTGTCAAGTGTCCGAACAAGTGGGTCCGAAGATTTACTGTGAGTAAGCGTTACATTTTTTAAAGAAGAGTCATTGTCTCGCGGAATTGGTAAATTTCTAGTTCTGTGTACAGGATTGTCAATGGACGAACCCACTGAGAGACCATCTTGTGACCTCATCTCCGAAACACGCCTCTTCACTGCATTTTGGACATCACTGTGCGTATCCAAGACAACTGAAGAGTTCTTCCTTTGTTCTTGGCGTCTTGCGAAGAACCGGACATTTCTGCCGATGATAGTATATAGCGTAACAAGTGTCACCGCCGACACGAGGAACAAAAGCAGTGTGATGACGTTGTTGATGAGGGGAATGGAAGATTCGGACCAAGCATCACTAACAGAACATTCAGTACCGTTGTACACAAAAGACTCGAACACGACCTCTCTGGTTCGAACACCGTAAAGAAAAATGTTAGGTATTGAAAATACAATGCCAAATATCAACGAACACACACTTAAAATTTTTGCGATTTTGTTTGATATTTGCCATTTCAGAGGTTTACATATTTTACGATATCTGTCGATAGCTATCAAAATTAATATTGTAGACGCTGCAACGGTCCCCGCTGAGTTTACAAACCGAGATATTCCACAAGCAATAGGGTTATCAAACTCGTACTGGTTCAGGACTGTTAGAATCTCAATCGGTACTGCGACTACACAGGTCATAAGGTCAACGGTTGACAGAAAGCAGATGAAACAGCGTGAGTTGGAATTTGTGTAAACTTTTGTGTAAATGTAAAGAACGATGGAGTTCCCGATCAGTCCCACCAGGGACAAAATCGATAAATAAACGGACAACGGAAATTGGCGAAAAGCCTCGGCCGCATTTATTTCCGAAAGTGTAGCCATGGATACCTTAATTCTTTATTATCCTTAATGTGTCCACCTCACTCCAAGAATATCGCTGATTAAAATTTGTTGTTTTTGTTGTCGTCGTCGTTTTTGCTGCTGTGTTGTTGTTGCTGCTTTAGTTGTTGTTGTTGTTGTTGGTTGTTATTGTTGTTTCTGCTTCCGTGGTTTTTGTTGTCGTCGTTGGCGTTGTTACATTATTCTTTATCTTTGATTTCTTTCATGGTTCGCTGTATTTATGAATTTGTTAACGTTCCTCCTTGTTGATGACTTCAGTGAGATGTCTGTGAAGTAAGATGGTTCATACTCTGGAAAGAGAGAAAACAGTGAAAATAATAAGAATGGGTGATTCTGATGGACATAAAAAATAGAGAATCTATATCAGTATTTACTCGACGTTAGTAATAATGCTTTTAATAGCATAATTTTAATAATTCAAGGTAATGTTATTTCATTTTGTGTTGTTGTTTGTTGGTAGTGTTGCTGTGTTGTTGTTTATTGTTGGTGGTGCTGTTCTGTTGTTGTTTATTGTTGGTGGTGTTGCTGTGTTGTTTATTGTTGGTGCTGTGTTGTTGTTTATTGTTGGTGCTGCTGTGTTGTTGTTTATTGTTGGTAGTGTTGCTGTGCTGTTGTTTATTGTTGTTGGTGCTGCTGCGTTGTTATTGTTGGTGGTGTTGTGTTGTTGTTTATTGTTGGTGGTGCTGCTGTGTTGTTGTTTATTGTTGTTGGTGCTGCTGTGTTGTTGTTTATTGTTGGTGGTGCTGCTGTGTTGTTGTTTATTGTTGGTGGTGCTGTTCTGTTGTTGTTTATTGTTGGTGGTGTTGCTGTGTTGTTTATTGTTGGTGCTGTGTTGTTGTTTATTGTTGGTGCTGCTGTGTTGTTGTTTATTGTTGGTAGTGTTGCTGTGCTGTTGTTTATTGTTGTTGGTGCTGCTGCGTTGTTATTGTTGGTGGTGTTGTGTTGTTGTTTATTGTTGGTGGTGCTGCTGTGTTGTTGTTTATTGTTGTTGGTGCTGCTGTGTTGTTGTTTATTGTTGGTGGTGCTGCTGTGTTGTTGTTTATTGTTGGTGGTGCTGTGTTGTTGTTTATTGTTGGTGGTGCTGCTGTGTTGTTGTTTATTGTTGGTGCTGCTGTGCTGTTGTTTATTGTTGGTGGTGCTGCTATGATGTTGTTTATTGTTGGTGCTGCTGTGTTGTTGTTTATTGTTGTTGGTGCTGTGCTGTTGTTTATTGTTGGTGGTGCTGCTGTGATGTTGTTTATTGTTGGCGGTGCTGCTGTGTTGTTGTTTATTGTTGGTGGTGCTGTATTTTGTTTATTGTTGGTGGTGCTGTATTTTGTTTATTGTTGGTGGTGCTGTGTTGTTGTTTATTGTTGGTGCTGCTGTGTTGTTGTTTATTGTTGGTGGGGCTGTGTTGATGTTTATTGTTGGTGATGCTGCTGTGTTGTTTATTGTTGGTGGTGTTGTGTTGTTGTTTATTGCTGTTGTTGCTGCTGTGTTGTTGTTTATTGTTGTTGGTGCTGTGCTGTTGTTTATTGTTGGTGGTGCTGCTGTGATGTTGTTTATTGTTGGCGGTGCTGCTGTGTTGTTGTTTATTGTTGGTGGTGCTGTATTTTGTTTATTGTTGGTGGTGCTGTATTTTGTTTATTGTTGGTGGTGCTGTGTTGTTGTTTATTGTTGGTGGTGCCGCTGTGTTGTTGTTTATTGTTGGTGGGGCTGTGTTGATGTTTATTGTTGGTGATGCTGCTGTGTTGTTTATTGTTGGTAGTGCTGTGTTGTTTATTGTTGGTGGTGCTGTGTTGTTGTTTATTGCTGTTGGTGCTGCTGTGTTGTTGTTTATTGTTGTTGGTGCTGTGCTGTTGTTTATTGTTGGTGGTGATGTGTTGTTGTGTTGTTGTTTATTGTTGGTGGTGCTGCTGTGTTGTTGTTTATTGTTATTGGTGCTGCTGTGTTGTTGTTTATTGTTGTTGGTGCTGTGCTGTTGTTTATTGTTGGTGGTGTTGTGTTGTTGTTTATTGTTGGTGCTGCTGTGTTGTTGTTTATTGTTGGTGGTGCTGCTGTGTTGTTGATGTTCATGTTGGTATTAAGCAAACAGCACTCATAAGTATAGTTTTCGTCCTGTTTAATCATGAATGTCACATAATCATTTTAAATGACTTCTTAGTTGCGACAAACATTAATTTCTTGCTTTATTTCCTTTTAGATAAGTAAAACACCAAATTCTAGCCAACTCTCTAACGATAAACAACGTTCACTCTTCAATATATCAGTTAGTCACGAGTGTATGAACGTATAACTTTCTCGCACTTTGAGTCTGCAGCTTCCGGTATTATCACTTCACATCAAGCGATAACCGGACGCTACGCATTCCTTTTGTACTACAATGTGCACGGGGTACGTAACTTGGGCCGTGTTATTATGTTTTATAAATTTCGTTTGTTTCGGCATAACAGTTGATGCCAGCTAGTAAGCAAATCAGCGGTAGATATATATGCACGTTCTGATTCAGAAAAAGTCTTTTCAAAACAAATACTTCATGTCTGACGACTGATGGAAACACAATCCGGGTTGATATTGTGACTATAGAACTCACCAATCGATGGAATGTAACAATTACCTTTGTGTCAGGATGAAATAATATTTATGTTTTTTTTGGGTGGGGTGGGGGTTGGGGTGTGAGGTTTCTATGTTTTTTTCTTTGTATTTTTACAGTTTATACCCTTTTTTACATACAATAAAAATAGTATGGCGTAAGTGAATAAGGTTCAATTGCTTTATACAGATTTACTCGTGTTCAAAACGTAGCCAGAACGCAGTTTTTAACATGGATCAATGTTCATGCAACAGGAACAGTGGGGAAGAACTTTAAGCGCGAGAGAAAGAGTAGGGCAGCACACGAAATTCGGTCTTCCGTGTGTCCACAGGTGAATGTGTAGAAAAAGTAATGTATTTGTAGGGAAAATCGTTCCTCGTACGCGTGTTTCATATTATCTAGTTGAAGAAAATACACAAAGCTTGCCTAAATTTTTCGATTTTGTAAACGTGATTTAAATATGAAGAGATACATCAGACATCTAGATGAAATACGACATGATGTATGTATTTTCAAAGAATAGTAAGAAAAATCGATTTACTAATTGCTTTTTAAACCATTTTGTTGTTGTTCGCGTTGTCAATTGCGCCCTTGGGATGCCACCTACGGTTTCCGGTATAATATGACCACCAGTGGTTATGAAAGGGAAATGTAGGAATTGTTACTTATTTTCTGTAGCTGAATTTACATTGGAATAACAATACAAATGGTTTAAACATACATGTAGGTACAAAGATTGAAATATTCGTGATAAAAATAGTACGTGCGCATTGGATATAGATCTACTCCAGAACACAAAAGTATATAATGAAGAATATATACGAAACATCCTAGATATGAAGAATAGTTTTACATTACTTGCCTATAAAATACGGCAGTACGCACGGGAGACAGTCGAGGAAATACCGTACATTCTGCAGGCTAGTTACATATTAGATAGGTCTAATGACAAGAATTTTGTATTAAAATATTGCTGACATTTGTATTTCTGAACTGTCAGTGATTTCACGTAAAACTTTCCTTTTTGCGAGCATATGAAAATAAAAAAAGACTATCAAGAGTGTATACATTGATTCCAAGGTCAACAGGACACGGCACCTGATAATAGCTGGAATAAGTGGAAATATGCGACAGAAAATACGTTTTTATGTCTCTATCCTTTTTTATGTTAAAACTAAATGTTTTATTATAGAATTTGATTAACTGACCATGAAAGAATATCTCAATATCATATGAACTGTATCCAACATGTCCGCTTCACTTTGCAAATGAAAATGTTTAAATAAACTGGCTTAAGTAACTTACCTTCAGAAAACATACCTTTTCAGCGTTTTAAGAAGTATTTTCTTCTGAATATGCTCCAGTTTATAAGTACATGAAAGGACAACTAGAAGTCGACAATCAGTCTAAACACATCAACACCAAACAAAATTGCTGGTAAATGTCAACAGTAATGTAGAGTGAATCTGTTGCCCTATCTTCACTTACTCTGGAAAATGTCAACTGTCTAGGTCACTGGAAACGTTGCCAGTCGGTGTCATTTTCCGAAACACGCCCATGTCATGTGGATGTTAAGGCGCCTTCTTTAACGAAAAATAAATTCGTTTGTTCCATCCAGAAAATCTTTAAATATCAAGGACCCGTGACGCCAAAAAGTTTTGAGATACTGCAACAACGACAGTTGTATAAGGTTATAAGTATTAAGATGCTATGATTCACGCCCCTGATGAGGACTTCCTTTAAATGATTTCGACGGAGTTTCTAGGTTAATAATTTGCAATGATTTACGGCCTTGGTTTATTTATCAACCCAGGAACAAAATGTTATATCAATTCAATTCTGCAAAATAAGGATTTTATTTCTGTCTGATAATATTTCATGATTACGTCATCACCGTAATTACATATTTAGTTAAATGATAACGACCGTGGAGTGCCCCCAGTGCCTAACACACCGTTCAAGAATGGAGCCTACTTCAAATGATGAATGTACATCCGAGAGTGTATATGAGTGAGCTCTTATACATGGGTCTTTTACTTAAACAATAACAATTACATACTACAAATGTGTCACTTTGTCTGTCTGCTTAAGCCTCCAGTAAGCAACAAATCTGCAATGACTCTGGCGTTACAGTTTTGAAGAAGAAGCCGCCAGGAGTTGCCTTAAGTACATTTCATATTAAATGCTTGAGGGTTGACACAGATGATTATTTAAAACCGTAATATACACTCAAATTAGGTGCCGGGAATGGATGTATTTTTTTCTATTACATTTGAACTTTTGACCTTGAAAACAAGTCATGGTCATTCGACGAATTGGTTATCAATATACGTCCCACACGCTAAACTACCACTAACGTACGTTTTGTGGTTCAATATAAGTTGCCGGATGGACGTACTGTCTTCGGAAAGGCATATTGTCGTCGGATAGCCGAACAACGACCAGTTGACAACGTACCAGGCAAAACATGTACATTTATACGTGCTTTTCATAACAATTAGTCTCAAGATGAAGCTCATCAACCACTCTGTGTGTACTTATCAATACTTATACATGGCGATTAAATTTACGCAAGAATGAACGATCTTGTTATTTATTTTTGTTTAGGGAGAGCACATTAACACTGCATTTCCTTAAGATTATTCTTTCTGTCACGGTATCTTGTCAAATTGTGTTTGTACTCTTTCGACATCGTGTACTTACTTATATGCAATGGTGCCATCTGAAAGCAATAGATTAAATCCTTTTGGTGTTATGTCCAACTAGGATATCATTTAAAAATCCTATAACTGACCCCTGAGGTACTTTAGAATTGACATTAACAGGAGATGTCACCTTTTCTACAACCACTGTTTGAGTTCTACCGATAATGACTCATTTTATCCGAGGAGTTACTGATTTTGTCGTTATAAATATTGCAACTTTTATTTCTACATTAGCATAAAAAGTTGTTACAAGAACACAATATGTTACACACATTATCATACAATATTAGTCCTGAAAGAACAAGATGAGTATTCTTCAATTATCACACAGCATATAAGTCAAAACACAAATAAAGACAGACACATGCAAAGTAACACATATCCTTTCATCCTCAATCACACATACATACACGCACACACTGTCACACACACACACAACCTCACATTCATACACTATCGTACTAATATCAATAGTGGTTGCCCCGAGTGTATATAAATCAAAAACACTAACAAAGGTGGAAAGTAATGCCATGCCCATTTTGTTGTTCCTCTGTTGATGTGAGATTGATAAAACGATCGACATTAGAAGATGAAAAGAATTAAATTGGTTTCAACTTTCTTTTTGAGTTTGGTTCCCCCCATCTAACCCATTCACTCCTGAATCGATTGAAGTGATTCTCCCTATGACCTCTAGCTTTGTATTTATGGTCTATGTATGTTTCTTTTAATGTATTTTTCAGAGTTGCAATATTAAGTTCGTTTTGAAAAATCTTGATCTTCACACATGTATAGAAATATTGTTTTCTTATGAAATTTATTACGTTTTATATTTTTATATACATTTTGTGCACATTATGATAACATAAAAATTTTAAAAATGGAATAAATATTTAAACAATGTTTCTAAATTCTAAAGTAAATTTTAAACTTTCTTAAGATCTGTCCAAATTTCTTAATTTCTGCTTTTAATTACAGAAAGGATCCCTGTTTAATCTGTTTTGAATGGTGATTAATCCAGAACTGGAGCCATTGTAATTTTGTGTTCTGTGTTTCAGAAAAAAAATCTGGAGTAGATTTCGAATTGTTTTCATCAAAATATTCATCCCCCTTTTTTCATGATTTGTTGTTACTTCACATTTGATCTTATAAAAATATTTTGAAATTCTTTTGATGAATGGAATATTTATCTTTAGATAGTCGTGTTGGTTTCTTAGCTCCTTAATAGCTGTTTTGATACCTTGGTGTTGTAGGAATTTTCTTACACAACCGTATATTTGTTTGATTTCAAGAAAAAAATGTATCATCACTCTTATATCATATCATCGGTAATTATTTCTCATCTTTTATCTGAATCTTTGTAAAACACAAATTTATTAACTATCTTGATTTTTCTTTATTTTTTAATTTTTATTATTCATAACAGTAAGCCAATGTGAACTCACAATGTGCTTTCATCATCATCATGATCATCACATCATCATCTAAATTATGTAACTTTTTCCAAGAAAGAAAAAGATCTTTCGCATATTCTTCCATTTTTCATAACTCTAGAAAACATACTCTGACTCACAATTCGCAAGGATGTTTCTGTCAGTATAAATCTGAAAAATCGTGCTATTTTCCCCGTTGTTAACTACCTCCTAATCCATGTAAGCTTTAATTTATTTGCAAACTATCTTATATGAGGCATTTCGAGTCCACTCTCACGTATTCTTTTTCAAATGGTAACATCGTATTGGCTTTGTCGACTTTCCTATTCCATAGAATGCTAGGTATACAGACTGTATTTCATTCTTTTTACAGTAGTAAATGTAAATGCATTATCTGGATGTGGCTATACGTGTACAATGAAAAATCAACACGGAGAAATCAACAGCGATTTTATCAAATGTATTCTGCCAATAGGTGTTAGTAATAATCTTCAACTCCGCATCATTGTAAAAATTAGAAAAAAAAATGAGTTTAAAAGTTCTTTTACATATATTTTTTGGTGAAAATTCAATTTTGGAATTCGATAAAAAAAATCAACATGGAAATCAATGTCAAGATATGTAACTTTAGCCTGTCTCCTCTGTGATTTCCATCCAAAACATCATCGCTGTACTTTCTATTCCCTTTCCAAATCACTGATGTTTTACATTTATTTTTAGCTTTGCTTTTTTTTTCAAAATATTTCATCTCTTATTCACTCTCTTAAAGATGATTCAGCTACAGCAAGGATTGTCATCAGCATATTGAAAAAGAAAATTGGGTACTTCAACAACTTTAATCACTTTCGTCTTTTTGTTAAAATTTATTTACCAAACTTTTTTATTTTTTATTTTTAATGAAAGCAGAATGGAAGAATAAGGCACGATCGGATCCCTTTGTCGGCAACTAAGATCCGAAATTAAAGAAATTTAAAACTTTACCAAGTAACATCATAGAAAAGTCAATTACATAAACCTTGGTCGTAATTTATTTTCCAACTCAATTAGTACGTTGATTCAGCTGATACCGCCATGTTCTAGATGTACAATGTATACAGGACATTGCTTACACCAGACGTTAGACATTTTGCAATCCCTGTAAATCTAAAAGGGAAACTCTTGTACATTTTAAAAGCAATTTTTATAGTCCAGATATGTTGTCAAAGACTTTATTCGCACATTTTCTGTTACCATGGAAACAGGTAACTCCCATCACAAATTTAAGTTTTTCTGTCCCAGTGCCATGAAACCGCTCAAGATAATTGTTCAAAACCATTTACACTTATTAAACTATTGGTATCTTTTGCTATGGGGAAGTCCTCCATTTAAATACTTTTTCAGTTACCATGGAAACAGAGTAGGCCAAATCACAAAGTTCAGTCTTACTCAAAACTTTGTACATGCATCAAGCTATTACTCTAGCAGAAGTTATCCATTTCAATACTTTGTATGGAACATTGACGATAACAAATAGAGATTCAATTTTTTTGTAACGTTAGTGATATATTTTTTTGTCATGTTAAGTGATTAATTTCTCTCTCTCTCTCTCTTGGCAGTCTCGAATCTGTGTCTACGCACCAAAATCTACCTTTACAAGAAGTGAAATTTTCATAGTGTTCACATGTGGTCATGTTATGAAGAATTTCCGAGTTGGAATTGGCTGAAATGTAAGTACTTTGTTACCATGATAGTGTTGTTGCAAATTAACTGTTTACTGCTACCAGTGCCTATTTAAAAGTAGCATTATAGTATCGGAGACATCTAAAACACGATAATGTACGGGAGATAACTCTAGGTAAAAAAAAAATTTACCGGAAGTGAAACGATAGAACCGAAAGTGGAATAAAGGAAAAACACACGGAAGCAACGAAAAGTGACCAATCTCTCTTGTTCCCATTTACAATATTTATTTTAACTGCATTGTGATTTCGGAACCTTTTGTATACATTGACAAGTTGAAATTCTCACGAGATCTGCTCGCTAACACACACGGATCTTTTTTGTCAGTGTGCAAGTACGTGGTGAGTAGAGAAACTAATGGCAAGTATATATATATATATATATATATATATAAGTATGTATGTTTTCCTTAATTTCATGAAAGGGGAAAGTAGAGGGGTTGGGTGGGTTGGATTGGGTTGGGTTATAAATATCAAGATAAGATAAAGATAAAAGACAGATGTTCCGCTAGTGTTTTTGCGTAAGAGCTTCAAGGGCTACATAGGGATATGTACCTGAAATCCCTCAAGTATTGTGTCGTGTCGTGGAGTCTGCAGGAATAAGTATATCTTTGTGTTTTTGTGCTCTCTGTACTATTATCTAGAAGACGATGGTGCATGGGTGTGGCCATCTTGTTTGTAGTACTGGGCCTTGTAGTGTTTGTAGCATGTCAGTGACTGAGCTGGTCTTATGGTAGCTGTTTCGGACATACAGTGCTGCACTGTTTTGTATTTGATCTGTTATGTTAGGGTCCCATATGGAAGACGAGTATTCCAGTTTGGGTTGGAAAAGTGCTAGTAAAACTAATAAAAATAATAAAAATAATAATCTCGGTTACATCCTGACCTATGTAGGGACTTCAAAATAATCTCTACAATCCCAGGAAACTTGAGGACAAGTTCTTTCCTGGAGAGGGAGTATGTGACTATGGTAACTAAATACTAGCTCAATATAATGCATGGCTAGAGCGATCTTCTCTCTGGCTTCAAATTAATCTTGATCAGTTGAGCTAATAGACCTGTACTCAAGAGGTTTGGGGTTGGGATCTTAACAGACGTGTTGATTTTTGTACATTGTAATTAACATTATAATTTTGTGTGACTATCAATAGGGGGTGTTGAAATAAATTTATAGCAGAAACCTGGACAATTTTAAACCCTGGCTAAGTAGTGTACACATGGGACTATGAAGAGGGAGTTTTGAAATAACTTTACAGCAGAATCCTAGAAAATTTTAAACCATGGCGAGGTAGTGTACACATGGGACTCTCTAGAGGGAGTTCTGAAATAACTGGAGTGGGCTTATTTCAAAATTTATGACAACCTTTATACAGTTAAATGTATACAAACTTAGTAGATGGATGATGTGTATTAAATAATTTGATATCATAAGTCAGTAAAATTGGTGTCAGATTTACTGTTGTATCTCCACTTGCAGATTGAATGAATATCCTGGGCTCACAAATTTTGTGTCATTGACTACTTACATGTGTAGTGTACACACATATGTCAAAAATCTGGTGCTGCTCAAGTTTCCCATCAAATATGTAACGATTGTGGTAAAATATTAAATGTAGCTGTTTCTATTTATAGATATGTAAGAGTTGATATCATGGGAAACAAAACATCGAGAGGTGATAAGCAAGAAAGCCAAAAGGAAATATTTATACACTTGTACTCGGAAGAACTTTCATCACACAATGTCGATGGCATAGTCTGCTTCACAGACAGAAAATGGTCAACAGATAATACGTGCTGCCACCTATTGGCAAAACATGGAGGAAATCATTATACGTCAGATCGTCATGCGATTAAACATGACAATAAAGATTGTCAGTCTGGCGATGTTTTTGTAGGAGCTGGTGGAATGTTGCCGTGTAAAAAAGTGATGTTTTGTGTTGTCGCAGAAAACGAAGTAACACAAGGAAGTTATGATCATGGTACAGTTACCATGGTAACAAATATGCTAGATGCAGCATCACGTGAAGATTTTTTCTCTGTGGCGATATTAATTGGAGGCAGTAAGTTACACACATTTAGTTAATCATGCAGATATGACAGAACATATTAGGATATGATGTTTTCTAGTTTGCAAGTTGTTCAAACTTTTTAGCCCACTATCTTCAAACAGATGTGGGTAGACTGTTCAAACCACCTTTCATCTGTCTCTGTCTCACAATCCATCTGCAAATAATTACTGTTATCATTATTATCTTGTTAAGAAGTACTGGATGGATCATTCTCAGATATTTTCTTGGTCCTTATAATTACAAATTGTTCATTGTAAAACAAAATGGCCAACAGGCAGCCATGTTGGATTTTAACACTCAGCTGTATACATTATAACCACTATGGGTTTTTTTTTAAGTACTGGATGGATCATTTTCAAATTTTATACCAAATTCCACCTGGTCCATAGTTAACTATTGTTTATTTTAGAAAGGCCAGATAAAAAAAAATTCCGGCAATTGTGGAGTTTTACAGTTATGGGCATAAAATACAATGACAGACAGGAGGGTATCTTGATAAATATTTCTTGTTGTCACTAAATCCTTTATTGATGGTACCAAGTAATTGGTTCTTCAGTCCATACAACATTATAGGATTTGGAACACAGTGTAAAAGGAAGAAGGGAAAACAGACACTTAGCTCAATTCAATTATTTTTTCTCAGAACCTGTAATCCAATTTATAAAAAGCTTACAAAGATCCTATGATGGTCGACACCAAGATCCCTCTAGGATCTCTTTTGTTACACATGTATCTTAGCAACAAGCAAACAATCGGGTCTTTTGCAACGATATCCTCAGAGTCAGATCCATTCGTTGGTTTAAGAAATTTGTCAAAGTTTATCGATATATTTCTTATATTGGGTTGGAATGTATATATAGACATGGCTGGAGATAGATCTTTTGTGCATTCTGTATACAAGATTAATTGAGGGCCTTGAATCAACCTCAGCTAGCACACCTGTCTTTGTAGCAGCCCAATTCAATACATACTATTAGTATTTTGTTCACTTTGATACTAGAGTTGTTCAAAAATTTAGTTACTGTCTTGCTATTTAAACTACATGTACTACAATGACCATACTTTAATAACTCAATGGGAAGACAAAGTGTAACGATGGAAATGGAGGTTAGATATGAAAAATATACAGAACTATATGATACAATGTTCTCTATTGAACCTGTTCTTGATTTTACGAAGAAAGATAAATGGGTAAGTAGGACAGGTCTTACACACACACCATTTAAAAGGCAAAAATGAAAACGTATTGAAGTAGTAGTGACGAGACCTCACTTCAGAAAAATGTTCCACTGAAATCACAGGTTTATGAAATCTTTGTTTCACAATGAGAGATACACTACATATATCAGTGTTAGGTACTTGTAATTACTATTCTGCTGGTATATGATATAATTTAGGTTGCATTTTGAAGCTGTTACGAAGTTTTTTTATCAATAATTGTTTGTTTCCAGGTGATGCTAGCCCGAACCCAACTTGTCTCATTCCTCTTATTTACTGTAAATTCCTGGTGTTTAAATCAAGTCTACAAGAAATTCATTTGGTCTCGCTGGATGAGTCATTGGTTGATTCAATGCAGAAAGTCTTGAGAGAGTCCCATGAGCTTTCTCTTTCTCAAGAAACAGCATTGAATGATCCAGGTCCCAGAAACTCTTCACCTCCAAAGAAGGAAATCTCACACAAGGAGCAGGTTCAGAAAACTTCAACACAAGGAAAGCTGCCTGTTTCTGAGGAAACTCCAAAACGAGCAACTTTTTTAGCACATGTTGACAGCTATCCCAGTGATGACGAGGACGCTGTTGATGAGGACTATATTAACAACATCATGGGAATAAAGGATGTGAAAATTCAGTCTGACAGTGTGCATGATGAAGTTGACAGTGCTAATCAGGCTTCAGAGTCAGAGTTAGGGGCTGTTGGCGGCTGCTATCAATCTGGTAACATTCCAGAGTTTGTACAGCACTGTGAATCCTCTGATGATGAATATGAAGATGAATTCAAGAAAACAATGTTTAAGAGACTAGATTCAACAACTAGCACAGCCAGTCAAGATGAAAATCTGGATTTTAATAACATTCCAAATTCTGTAGGAAAATCAAAAGAGGGGCAACTTTCACCAGCAGCTGTGGTGCCTTATTCTCCTCATTCACCGAATAAAGGCTTTGTGTGTTCAATTTGTTTTGAAGAAAAGGGACCTTTGTCACAGAAAAAACTTGAAAAGTGTCAGCATATATTTTGTAAAGAGTGTATTGAGAAACATCTACGAAATCATGGGACTTGTCCTGTGTGTAAACAGCGCTATTCAGAACCTGAAGGCAATCAGCCTGATGGCATCATGTCCTACTTTATAACAAAGGATTTTAAGGTGGAGGGTTATGAGAGTTACGGAACTATTGTTATAGAATATGACATTCCTGATGGGATACAAACGGTATGTATTAAATAGAGAACAGAACCATCCTATAGGCTACAAAACCATCCTATACACTACAGAACCATCCTATAGGCTACAGAACCATCCTATAGGCTACAGAACCATCCTATACACTACAGAACCATCCTATAGGCTACAGAACCATCCTATAGCCTACCTACAGAACCATCCTATAGGCTACAGAACCATCCTATACACTACAGAACCATCCTATAGGCTACAGAACCATCCTATACACTACAGAACCATCCTATAGGCTACAGAACCATCCTATACACTACAGAACCATCCTATACACTACAGAACCATCCTATAGGCTACAGAACCATCCTATAGGCTACAGAACCATCCTATAGCCTACAGAACCATCCTATACACTACAGAACCATCCTATAGGCTACAGAACCATCCTATACACTACAGAACCATCCTATAGGCTACAGAACCATCCTATAGGCTACAGAACCATCCTATACACTACAGAACCATCCTATACACTACAGAACCATCCTATAGCCTACAGAACCATCCTATAGCCTACAGAACCATCCTTTAGCCTACAGAACCATCCTATAGGCTACAGAACCATCCTTTAGCCTACAGAACCATCCTATAGGCTACAGAACCATCCTATACACTACAGAACCATCCTATAGCCTACAGAACCATCCTATAGGCTACAGAACCATCCTATAGGCTACAGAACCATCCTATACACTACAGAACCATCCTATAGTCTACAGAACCATCCTATAGGCTACAGAACTATCCTATCAACTACAGAACCATCCTATACCGTATGATATTACTGATGAGATACAAATAATACATACCAAATATGGTACAAAACCATTCTATAGGTTACAGAACCTTCCTATACACTACAGAACCATCATGTAGGCTACAAAACAATCCTATACACTACAGAACCATCCTTTAGGCTACAGAACCATCATGTAAGCTACAAAACAATCCTATACACTACAGAACCATCCTTTAGGCTACAGAACCATCATGTAAGCTACAAAACAATCCTATACACTACAGAACCATCCTGTAGGCTACAGAACCAACCTATAGGCTACAGAACCATCCTATACACTACAGAACCATCCTATAGGCTACAGAACCATCCTATAGCCTACAGAACCATCCTATAGGCTACAGAACCATCCTATACACTACAGAACCAACCTATACACTATAGAACCATCCTATACACTACAGAACCATCCTATAGGCTACAGAACCATCCTATAGCCTACAGAACCATCCTATAGGCTACAAAACCATTCTATAGGTTACAGAACCTTCCTATACACTACAGAACCATCATGTAGGCTACAAAACAATCCTATACACTACAGAACCATCCTTTAGGCTACAGAACCATCATGTAAGCTACAAAACAATCCTATACACTACAGAACCATCCTTTAGGCTACAGAACCATCATGTAAGCTACAAAACAATCCTATACACTACAGAACCATCCTGTAGGCTACAGAACCAACCTATAGGCTACAGAACCATCCTATACACTACAGAACCATCCTATAGGCTACAGAACCATCCTATAGCCTACAGAACCATCCTATAGGCTACAGAACCATCCTATACACTACAGAACCAACCTATACACTACAGAACCATCCTATACACTACAGAACCATCCTATAGGCTACAGAACCATCCTATAGCCTACAGAACCATCCTATAGGCTACAGAACCATCCTATACACTACAGAACCAACCTATACACTACAGAACCATCCTATACACTACAGAACCATCCTATAGGCTACAGAACCATCCTATACACTACAGAACCATCCTATAGGCTACAGAACCATCCTATAGGCTACAGAACCATCCTATACACTACAGAACCAACCTATACACTACAGAACCATCCTATAGGCTACAGAACCATCCTATAGGCTACAGAACCATCCTATACACTACAGAACCATCCTTTAGGCTACAGAAAAATCCTATACACTACAGAACCATCCTTTAGGCTACAGAACCAACCTATAGGCTACAGAACCATCCTATAGGCTACAGAACCATCCTTTACACTACAGAACCATCCTATACCGTATGATATTCTTGATGAGATACAAATAATACATACCAAAAAGGGTACAAAACCATTCCATATGTTACAGAACCTTTCTTTACACTACAGAACCATCATGTAAGCTACAAAACAATCCTATACACTACAGAACCATCCTATAGGTTACAGAACCATCATGTAGGCTACAAAACCATCCTATACACTACAGAACCATCCTATAGGTTACAGAACCATCATGTAGGCTACAAAACCATCCTATACACTACAGAACCATCCTATAGGCTACAAACCATCCTATACACTACAGAACCATCCTATAGGCTACAGAACCATCCTATAGGCTACAGAACCATCCTATAGGCTACAGAACCATCCTGTAGGCTACAAAACCATCCTATAGGCTACAGAACCATCCTATACACTACAGAACCATCCTATAGGCTACAGAACCATCCTATAGGCTACAGAACCATCCTATACACTACAGAACCATCCTATACGACATGATATTCCTGATGAGATACAAATGATACATACCAAATAGGGTACAAAACCATTCTATAGGCTACAAAACAATCCTATACACTACAGAACCATCCTATACAATATAGAACCATCCTATAGGCTACAAAACCATCCTATACACTACAGAACCATCCTATACAATATAGAACCATCCTATAGGCTACAAAACAATCCTATACACTACAGAACCATCCTATACACTACAGAACCATCCTATACGATATGATATTCCTGATGAGATACAAATGATACATACCAAATAGGGTACAAAACCATTCTATAGGCTACAAAACAATCCTATACACTACAGAACCATCCTATACAATATAGAACCATCCTATAGGCTACAATCTGAAAGGTATCACTAACAGGAAATCTTAGCAGTGTAGATGTCCTTGCTATTTTGTTACCTGTTGTAATGAACAGTTCTGATTCAGTATTTTCAGCATATATACAGGTCATCAAGGTGATTGCCGATAATAGATACTTAAAGTAATAATTTCCTTGTAAATATCAAGCAGTGATGAAAAAAAAAAACACAACTAAATACTTTACTGTCTATAAGTGCTATCACTTGCTGGCAGTCCTACAAATATGTACTGCAGCTGTCAATAATCATTCTCAAATTTTGGATGTAGATTCCCCTTAGTTGTGTACTCTCTATTTTGAAACTGGTTGGAAAAAAAATGCATGAAAGGTGGCCATCTTGAATTTTGTCAATGAAAGATTGTTGTTTCTTTGAGAAGTTCTTGATGACTTATTCTCAAATTTCAAATGTACTCAAAATGTAGGTTCTCCTCTGTCTTTGATTGAGCGTCGCCCATGTATGGAAATGATAATATAATCCACACGGTTGACAGTGGGCCATCTTGGATTTTGATAGCAGTATTTTATAATTACCATTTGTGGAGGAACTCTGGATGGACCATTCACAAATTTCTAATAATAATTTCCCTTATTCCCTGGTTGTGAACTGTCCATTTTGGAACTGATTTAAAAAAAAACCCAGAATTATTATCGCCCTGGCATCAAGTTTTATTTACAGTTTAAGTTTATTGTTACCAATTAAAGTTTGTAGATATAGGTAGGTTTCTTTTGTTAAATACTTGTAAGTGGACAGGACAGAGTAGAAGGACAATTACCAAACAATCAAAGCCCAATAAAAATCATACATTGGTGGACATCAAGATCCCTCTCTGATATTGTATACATAGAACAAATTGATGATAGTTTACATATGTAATTAATACCAAGGCATAGTAAGTTACTGATGAATCTCTGTAATGATATGTACAAATGTATACATATAATGGCAGATTAAAGACATATGTTCTGAAAATGAATTGATTCAGGCCAAGGTTCCACAATCTTGGACAGTATTTGTGGAATTTTTGAGATAATATTTTATTTTCCTTGAAAAGTTAATTTTCATATCTACTTTGAAAACTAATAAAATTTAGGCCAGTGAGATTGATACCAGCTGAGAGGTTTATGTATGTAGTATAGATTGAATATTGTTAATATAATGAAAGTTTTGGATTTTTTATGCTTATACTCCAGTAATTTAGAAAGTAATATTGGTGCCTATTCCCACAGGATCGCCATCCAAACCCTGGCATGAGATACAAAGGTTTACATAGATCAGCCCTTTTACCAGACAGTCCTGATGGTAACAGAATCCTCGCCCTACTGATGAAAGCCTTTGACAGAAAACTTATCTTCACTGTGGGAACCTCCATCACCACTGGACGTGAGAATGTAACAACATGGAACGACATTCATCATAAAACCAGCCGTAACGGGGGACCACAGCGGTAAGTTTGTAGTTCAGTGATCAAACCAAATTCTGAATGAAATTAATGCTCACCTATCAGTAATGACAAATGTTTGGCTTCAGATATGATAAGGTAAAAGGTAGATTTTATTATAATTTCTTCTCTGATTAGTGTTTGGTGGTCATTGGTAAAGGTAAATGGGTCAAAGGTCACAATTGACCACTTTTGAAATGAAAAAGCTATATTATTAATGCCTTGACAAATTCTGTTAATAGCGATACCATAACACACATTTGTAGCACAAATGACCAGATTTTGGGGATCATCTATGTGAGACTCTGTTAATTTGTTTTACGTGTATTTTTATGAAAAAATACTCAGTATTTGAATAATCAATAGTTACATTGCATAGATATAAAATGTATATAGTATTTTGATAATTATTACATTGTATTTGTGTGAAAATATCATGATAGTATTTATTATTTATAGATATATTAAAAAATATTAAATAAATTATATAAAGAAAGTGGTTTGTATTAATGCAGTGGTTAAACTGTACTTTGATCGTTATATCATAGTTATGTTGAAACAAGAGTAATACAGTAACTGTATTAATCTGTGTGATGTTACACGGTGGTTACTGTTGAACATTGTTATCTCCAACTCGTATAACTCGTAGGCCTCATTTAATTTGAAGCATTTCATCAGTCCCTGCCTAACTTTACACAAAACATTCAGACTCACTTAAATTGAATACCTGTTCACTTTTTTTCACCATGGTCCCACAGAGTGCAAGATAATGAGGTTTGACTGTATACTATAATTCTGACCACTGTGGAAAACAATGGCTCTGTCACATTTCACTGCATTTCGTAAGAGGCATCCGGTCGTGGTATACCCCATGCAGATCAGGGATGATATCCCAGGTGTTTGGTTTGGACGACATCGTAGAGCCTAAGAATATGGTCAGCTGCGTAGTCCACCGTTGAATCGGAAAAGGCAGCTAAAAGTGGTCCCTCTTGAGAGGAAGGTGTTTTCTTCTGTATCTTCTACCACGGGGACATTGTACAGATCACTTGGGAACTTGACCTTTTTCCTTTTCTTTCCTGTCTTGGTCATTTTTTTCTGTGACACATCCTGTCTTCCTATGACCATGGCTGTGATAACCTCGTATATAAAAATCAAGAAAAAAACAAACTTCTCATGACTATTTATTGTAAATGTATTGATCACACTTTGATTTTTGTTTTAAGATTTGGCTATCCTGATCCGACCTACCTGAGACGAGTCTATGATGAACTGATTGCCAAAGGAATCACAGAGGATGACTAGAATGCAAATCATTAAGTGATATATATATATATATGTATTATCCTTAATTTTTCTTTATCAAACACATGCATTTTTAGCTCCCCTGGGCCAAAGGGCCAAGTGAGCTTATTCTTGGTGTAAGTGATATATATATAACCAATGGACCAAATGTTTTGATATTTGGCTGGTATGTTCCCAGGATGATGCGTGAGAAAATTTGTGAAAAAGAAATGACCTTGACATATATTCAAGGTCACAGAGATCAAATTTGTGAAAACCTTTAAACAACTTCTCCTTAACACATAGGCCAAGATGCATAATAGTTGGCTGGTATGTTCCTAGGATGAAGCCTGACGAAGTTTGTGAAAAAAAATAATCTTGACCTATATTCAAGGTCACAGAGACAAAATTTGCTAAGACCTTAAACAACTTCTACTCATGAACCAATAGGCCTAGAGGCATGATAGTTGACTGGCATGTTCCTAAGATGAAGCTTGACAAAGTTTGTGAAAAAAAATAATCTTGACCTATATTCAAGGTCACAGAGACAAAATTTGCTAAGACCTTAAACAACTTCTACTCATGAACCAATAGGCCTAGAGGCATGATAGTTGACTGGCATGTTCTAAGGATGAAGCTTGACAAAATTTAGAAAAAGAAATGACCTTGACCTGTGTTCAAGGTCACAAGGGTCAATTTTTTAAAACCATTTGATCAACTTTTTTCGAATAAACTAAAAGGCCAAGACACATGATATTTGACTGGTAAATATATACACAAGGTGAGCGTGCAGGCCTATTGGGCCTATTGTTCACACTTTATTCCGGTGAAAACTGATGAACTACCATAGTGTTTAAATTTGTTTAGAGACGGTTTTGTCATTTGATCTCCACTGAACCTAAGGACTTCATTTAAATGTTTACTGATGCAGTATATGATAATGTCTCTATGAGAAAAATCTCTAATTCAGTTTGTATGGTAATTGCTTTTATGAAAAATGTTTTTGTTTTTATTCAGCAGTTAGTCCAATGACACATTTCCATGGAAATTTCATGGGATGGGCTTATTAGGGGACTTTGCAATGGTATTACTAGTAAATTGCCTGCTTGGGCTTGATGCTAGATGGAGATCAGCTATGTTGTGATTGGACACGAGAATTGCTGAATTGATTCCTTTTCAAGGCCTTGATAAGTTAATCACTTGTGGCTTTTCATGACCAAGATGCACATATAACTGATCATGATCGTAAAGTAATCTGATGTCTGCTATCCTCTGATTGTAATTGTTAAGTAATCTGATGTCTGCTATCCTCTGATTGTAATTGTTAAGTAATCTGATGTCTGCTATCCTCTGATCGTAATTGTTAAGTAATCTGATGTCTGCTATCCTCTGATTGTAATTGTTAAGTAATCTGATGTCTGCTATCCTCTGATTGTAATTGTTAAGTAATCTGATGTCTGCTATCCTCTGATTGTAATTGTTAAGTAATCTGATGTCTGCTATCCTCTGATTGTAATTGTTAAGTAATCTGATGTCTGCTATCCTCTGATTGTAATTGTTAAGTAATCTGATGTCTGCTATCCTCTGATTGTAATTGTTAAGTAATCTGATGTCTGCTATCCTCTGATTGTAATTGTTAAGTAATCTGATGTCTGCTATCCTCTGATTGTAATTGTTAAGTAATCTGATGTCTGCTATCCTCTGATTGTAATCCATCAGGTTTACGTAGTGTATGCTACAATATCCATAACCATCAAATATACTTGGTGTCTGTTTATTGTAATTCATTCAGAAGTGGTCCAGTTGACCCAGTGTCTGTTCATTGTGATTCATTCAGAAGTGGTCCAGCTGACCGTGTGTCTGTTCATTGTAATTCATTCAGAAGGGGTCCAGCTGACCGTGTGTCTGTTCATTGTGATTCATTCAGAAGTGGTCCAGCTGACCCAGTGTCTGTTCATTGTGATTCATTCAGAAGGGGTCCAGCTGACCGTGAGTCTGTTCATTGTAATTCATTCAGAAGTGGTCCAGTTGACCCAGTGTCTGTTCATTGTCTGTTCATTGTAATTCATTCAGAAGTGGTCCAGCTGACCGTGAGTCTGTTCATTGTAATTCATTCAGAAGTGGTCCAGCTGACCGTGTGTCTGTTCATTGTAATTCATTCAGAAGTGGTCCAGCTGACCGTGTGTCTGTTTATTGTAATTCATTCAGAAGTGGTCCAGCTGACCCAGTGTCTGTTCATTGTGATTCATTCAGAAGGGGTCCAGCTGACCGTGAGTCTGTTCATTGTAATTCATTCAGAAGTGGTCCAGTTGACCCAGTGTCTGTTCATTGTCTGTTCATTGTAATTCATTCAGAAGTGGTCCAGCTGACCGTGAGTCTGTTCATTGTAATTCATTCAGAAGTGGTCCAGCTGACCGTGTGTCTGTTCATTGTAATTCATTCAGAAGTGGTCCAGCTGACCGTGTGTCTGTTCATTGTGATTCATTCAGAAGGGGTCCAGTTGACCGTGTGTCTGTTCATTGTAATTCATTCAGAAGTGGTCCAGCTGACCCAGTGTCTGTTCATTGTGATTCATTCAGAAGTGGTCCAGCTGACCGTGTGTTGACCCAGTGTCTGTTCATTGTAATTCATTCAGAAGTGGTCCAGTTGACCGTGTGTCTGTTCATTGTGATTCATTCAGAAGGGGTCCAGTTGACCGTGTGTCTGTTCATTGTGATTCATTCAGAAGGGGTCCAGTTGACCGTGTGTCTGTTCATTGTGATTCATTCAGAAGGGGTCCAGTTGACCGTGTGTCTGTTCATTGTGATTCATTCAGAAGGGGTCCAGTTGACCGTGTGTCTGTTCATTGTGATTCATTCAGAAGTGGTCCAGCTGACCGTGTGTCTGTTCATTGTGATTCATTCAGAAGTGGTCCAGTTGACCGTGTGTCTGTTCATTGTGATTCATTCAGAAGGGGTCCAGTTGACCCAGTGTCTGTTCATTGTAATTCATTCAGAAGGGGTCCAGCTGACCGTGTGTCTGTTCATTGTAATTCATTCAGAAGTGGTCCAGCTGACCGTGTGTCTGTTCATTGTAATTCATTCAGAAGTGGTCCAGCTGACCCAGTGTCTGTTCATTGTAATTCATTCAGAAGTGGTCCAGCTGACCCAGTGTCTGTTCATTGTAATTCATTCAGAAGTGGTCCAGCTGACCGTGTGTCTGTTCATTGTAATTCATTCAGAAGTGGTCCAGCTGACCGTGTGTCTGTTCATTGTAATTCATTCAGAAGCGGTCCAGCTGACCGTGTGTCTGTTCATTGTAATTCATTCAGAAGCGGTCCAGCTGACCGTGTGTCTGTTCATTGTAATTCATTCAGAAGTGGTCCAGTTGACCCAGTGTCTGTTCCTATCATTTGTCTGATGTGTTTTATTTGATGTTCTTCCTTCTTTTTTATGTTTGTTTATTTGTTTTCTTTGATTTTTTTCTTTCTTAGATATGATATCTTGATTCATCATCGGCAATAAAATTTGACAGCTGTAAAGTTCAGTTTGTTCATGATCCAGTGTTTACATAAATTGTCACGGTCCAGTGTTAACACAACTTGTCACAGTCTGGTGTTTACATAACTTGATACGGTCCAGTGTTTACACAACTTGCTGTATCCCAGCATTTACGTAACTTTACATGGCTCAGTGATTACATAATTAACCATGGTCCAGTGGTTACATAACTTTACATGGCCCAGTGATTACATAATTAACCATGGTCCAGTGGTTACATAACTTTACATGGCCCAGTGTAATGTTACTTGACCTGGATAAATATTTACATAACTTTACATGGCCCAGTGTAATGTAACTTGACCTGGATAAATATTTACATAACTTTACATGGCCCAGTGTAATGTTACTTTACCTGGATAAATATTTACATAACTTGACATGGCCCAGTGATTACATAATTAACCATGGTCCAGTGGTTACATAATTTTACATGGCCCAGTGTAATGTTACTTGACCTGGATAAATATTTACATAACTTTACATGGCCCAGTGTAATGTTACTTTACCTGCATAAATATTTACATAACTTGACATGGCCCAGTGATTACATAATTAACCATGGTCCAGTGGTTACATAATTTTACATGGCCCAGTGTAATGTTACTTGACCTGGATAAATATTTACATAACTTTACATGGCCCAATGTAATGTTACTTTACCTGGATAAATATTTACATAACTTGACATGGCTCAGTGATTACATAATCAACCATGGTCCAGTGGTTACATAACTTTACATGGCCCAGTGTAATGTTACTTGACCTGGATAAATATTTACATAACTTTACATGGCCCAGTGTAATGTAACTTGACCTGGATAAATATTTACATAACTTTACATGGCCCAGTGTAATGTTACTTTACCTGGATAAATATTTACATAACTTGACATGGCCCAGTGATTACATAATTAACCATGGTCCAGTGGTTACATAATTTTACATGGCCCAGTGTAATGTTACTTGACCTGGATAAATATTTACATAACTTTACATGGCCCAGTGTAATGTTACTTTACCTGCATAAATATTTACATAACTTGACATGGCTCAGTGATTACATAATTAACCATGGTCCAGTGGTTACATAATTTTACATGGCCCAGTGTAATGTTACTTGACCTGGATAAATATTTACATAACTTTACATGGCCCAGTGTAATGTTACTTTACCTGCATAAATATTTACATAACTTGACATGGCCCAGTGATTACATAATTAACCATGGTCCAGTGGTTACATAATTTTACATGGCCCAGTGTAATTTTACTTGACCTGGATAAATATTTACATAACTTTACATGGCCCAATGTAATGTTACTTTACCTGGATAAATATTTACATAACTTGACATGGCTCAGTGATTACATAATCAACCATGGTCCAGTGGTTACATAACTTGACATGACCCAGTGTAATATAACTTGACCTGGATAAATATTTATATAACTTTGCATGGTCCATTGTACATGACACAGGTCAGGGTTTACAAAAAATTAGCATTGTCCAGTGTTAATGTAGCTTGACATGGCTCAGTGATTACATCAATTGAAACAGACCAGTTGTTACATACCATTACTTATATCAGTGATAACATAACTTGGCATAGTCCCATGTTTATGTGACACGACATGGCTCAGTGATTACATAACCTGGCATGGTCCCGTGTTTATGTAACTTGACGTGGTCCCATGTTTATGTCACTTGACGTGCCCCCATGTTTATGTCACTTGACGTGCCTCAGTGATTACATAACCTGGCATGGTCTCATGTATATGTAACTTGACATGTATCAGTGATTACATAACCTGGCATCAGTTGTACCTGTGATTCATGTTTAATTACTTTTTTCACTTAAAATTGACAAACTTGTCATGTATGGTTTATTTCTCATTGATCTGATTTTGTTATATGTTATCAGTGGTATCATGTTATTGTACATAAGAATATAAATTAATAAAAAGGATGAAATTGAAACTTTTTTTCTTTTAATTATCTGTTGTACAAACACCATATAATGTCACTAGTGCCTCACACACATTTTAAAAACACTCGTGTATCACACACTTGTATGTCACACACTTGTGTATCACACACTTGTATGTCACACACTTGTATATCACACACTTGTGTATCACACACTTGTATGTCACACACTCGTATATCACACACTTGTATGTCACACACTTGTATGTCATACACTTGTATATGTCTCCCACTTGTATGTAACACACTTGTATGTCAAACACTTGTGTGTTACACACTTGTATATGTCACACATTTGTATATATCACACACTTGTATGTAACACACTTGTATGTCATACACTTGTATATGTCTCCCACTTGTATGTCACACACTTATATATCACACACTTGTATGTCACACACTTGTATGTCATACACTTGTATATGTCTCCCACTTTTATGTAACACACTTGTATGTCAATCACTTGTGTGTCACACACTTGTATATGTCACACATTTGTATATATCACACACTTGTTTATCACACACTTGTATATGTCACACACATGTATATCACACACTTGTATGTAACACACTTGTGTATCACACATTGTATGTCACACTTGTATATCACACTTGTATGTCACACACTTGTATGTCATACACTTGTATATGTCTCCCACTTGTATGTAACACACTTGTATGTCAAACACTTGTGTGTCACACACTTGTATATGTCACACATTTGTATATATCACACACTTGTATATCACACACTTGTATATGTCACACACATGTATATCACACACTTGTATGTAACACACTTGTGTATCACACTCTTGTATATCACACACTTGTATGTCACACACTTGTGTATCACACACTTGTATGACACAAAGTTGTATATGTCACACACTTGTATGTCAAACATTTGTGTCACACACTTGTATATGTCACATATTTTTATTTATCACACTTGTATATCACACACTTGTATATCACACACTTTTATGTCACACACTTGTATGTCACACACTTTTATGTCACACACTTGTATGTCACACACTTGTATATCACACACTGGTATGTCACACACTTGTATATCACACACTTGTATGTCACACACTTGTGTATCACACACTTGTATGTCAAACACTTGTGTATCACACACTTGTATGTCACACACTTGTATGCTATACACTTGTATGTCACACACATATATGTCACACACTGGTATGTCACACACATGTATATCACCCTCATGTATGTCACACACTGGTATGTCACACACATGTATATCACACACTTGTATGTCACACACTTGTATATCACACACTGGTATGTCACACACTTGTGTATTACACACATGTATGTCACACACTGGTATGTCACACACATGTATATCACACACTGGTATGTCACACACATGTAAACACTGTTTGTCGATAACTTCTTCTGTTAAAGATCAAAAAACATACATACATGTACGATAGAGCGACAACTACAACAGTATTTAAAGAAAGCAGCATGATGATTCACACCTGACTCTGGATTGAAACCCAATACCGATTGTTCAACAAGCAAAATTTGATTTTCGACTTGAATTTTTCCTGACACATATCAAAAATGTTACAGACAAGTGTTTGTAGGCACTTGGCATTTGCGAGGGTGCAGACTGCGAGATGCTTTTGTGTCTATACCGAACACTTTTCCGATTAAAGCTGGACTAAAGTTGTAGGTCAGTACACAAATCTTTGGCCTGCTTGAGCCGATTCACAACCAGAAATTGTGTCTGGCTTTAGGGGCTTTTCGACCAATACTAGTGAAAAGTCTCTGTGTAGAGACCAATTGAGGCATCCCTTCACGACCGCAGAGCAAACCTCTCACTCCAATTCTCGTCTCAGCTTTAAATTTAGAAAATACTCGCACTTCATCACTAATTATTAAAGCTAAATTATAAAATATATTTCACCAAAACAAAGCAACTTCTCACAGCTTTTGATTTACTTGTCAAAAAAACCTTCAAGATTTAAATATTGATTTTCAAATATAGCATGTAGTGTACTGTTGTTATACCTGATGTCCCCGTGGACCATTACAAGAAGACAGTAAGACGACCACACTCCATACTCTCAGATGCTTATAAGACAAATATCTCCGAACTCCTCTCAAAATACCCCTATCAGTCTGTACTTTTCACTGACGATTCAAAGGATGGAAAAAAGTTGTTGTAGCATGCTATTCAAAACTTTTCATCTCTTCCCGGCGACGCTTCTATTTTCCTCAGCTGGAGCATGTACAATCTAGCGCTTGATAAAATAGTATGTGTCCTTTATACGTAATTTAATACACAAGTCACGTGCCCTTTGGCTTCTCGTTGTTATATTGCCGTTAAGTCTTGGGGTAGTCCATGTACGTGATTTTTTTTTATCTTCGTGAAGACTTGGACTAGTCCATGTACAGGATGTTTTATCTTCGTGAAGACTTGGGCTAGTCCATGCACAGGATGTTTTATCTTCGTGAAGTCTTGGGCTAGTCCATGCACAGGATGTTTTATCTTCGTGAAGACTTGGGCTAGTCCATGCACAGGATGTTTTATCTTCGTGAAGTCTTGGGCTAGTCCATGCACGAGATGTTTTATTTTCGTGAAATCTTGGGCTAGTCCATGTACAAGATGTTTTATCTTCGTGAAGACTTGGGCTAGTCCATGCACAGGATGTTTTATCTTCGTGAAGACTTGGGCTAGTCCATGTACAGAATGTTTTATCTTCGTGAAGTCTTGGGCTAGTCCATGCACGAGATGTTTTATTTTCGTGAAATCTTGGGCTAGTCCATGTACAAGATGTTTTATCTTCGTGAAGACTTGGGCTAGTCCATGCACAGGATGTTTTATCTTCGTGAAGTCTTGGGCTAGTCCATGTATAGGTTGTTTTATCGCCGTTAAGTCTTGGGCTAGTCCATGTACAGGAAGTTTTATCTTCGTGAAGTCTTGAGCTAGTCCATGCACGAGATGTTTTATTTTCGTGAAATCTTGGGGTAGTCCATGTACAGGATGTATTATCTTCGTGAAGACTTGGGCTAGTCCATGTATAGGTTGTTTTATCGCCGTTAAGTCTTGGGCTAGTCCATGTACTGGAAGTTTTATCTTCGTGAAGTCTTGGGCTAGTCCATGTACAAGATGTTTTATCTTCGTGAAGTCTTGAGCTAGTCCATGTACAGAATGTTTTATCTTCGTGAAGACTTGTGTAACAGAGTCGGGTTTTTTGGGGTCCCTGGTACAAATAAATGCGACGGACGAGATGGTGGTCTAGTGTCTTCATTTATTTTTTTCATTTACTCATCTCATACTTAATCCCTACAACAAAACAAATAACACTGTAGAGTAACTAAAGGTAAAAGCAACTATATGAACAATTATGAACAGAACATTCGGACGGGTACGCGTTACTAAAAGATACATTTCACACCAAATATTATTTAAAATCCACAAATTAAATTATCACAACATAGCATATGTATATAAAGATTACTCACTTGGCATGTGGTGCCCAGGACATTTCATCGGCAATGAATTGAAAAATATAGTTGATTTAGAGAGGGAATGTATATGTTCCTCTACCGGCGGTCAAAATCTTTATGGGGCTTTTGGCGGTAATGAGAAAGAAAGAAAGAAAAGAAAAGAAAAAGACCAGCACGCATGTCCAGCACTGTATCCGTCACCTGTCAAACCTGTTTACCTACATACGTCACACAAACTCACTCTCCGGACATTCACGAACTACACATACAGTATACATAATAGGACTTTTACAATACAAAGCACAACATGGGATACGCCCCCCATATAGAAGTAACACGACGAGTGCACCACACGTACAATGCAAAACACAACATGGGATACTCCCGTCGTAAATATGGCAAGACGAGCACAGTAGAAATACATTAACATATTAAAATAATTTAAATGGGTGCCACACTTGGGCTAGTCCATGTACAGAATGTTTTATCCTCGTGAAGACTTGGGCTAGTCCATGTACAGAATGTTTTATCTTCGTGAAGACTTGGGCAAGTCCATGTATAGGTTGTTTTATCTTCGTGAAGTCTTGGGCTAGTCCATGCACAGGATGTTTTATCTTCGTGAAGTCTTGGGCTAGTCCATGTACAGGATGTACTATCTTCGTGAAGACTTGGGCTAGTCCATGTACAGGATGTATTATCTTCGTGAAGACTTGGGCTAGTCCATGTACAGGATGTATTATCTTCGTGAAGACTTGGGCTAGTCCATGTACAGAATGTTTTATCTTCGTGAAGTCTTGGGCTAGTCCATGTACAGGATGTATTATCTTCGTGAAGTCTTGGGCTAGTCCATGCACAGGATGTTTTATCTTCGTGAAGTCTTGGGCTAGTCCATGCACAGGATGTTTTATCTTCGTGAAGTCTTGGGCTAGTTCATGTACAGAATGTTTTATCTTCGTGAAGTCTTGGGCTAGTCCATGTACAGGATGTTTTATCTTCGTGAAGACTTGGGCTAGTCCATGTACAGAAGGTTTTATCTTCGTGAAGACTTGGGCTAGTCCATGCACAGGATGTTTTATCGCCGTGAAGACTTGGACTAGTCCATGCACAGGATGTTTTATCTTCGTGAAGTCTTGGGCTATTCCATGTACGAGTTGTTTTATCGCCCTAATATTACTAACGTCTTATAATAAGCTTTCTGAAATCTTTAAGCATACAAGTATACATTATTGGGTTTGTCATAATTGAGGCAATAGCAAATATTGCACAGCCAAATTCAACTGTGTCCGGCATGGAAACAAACAGCATAACAAGTCCTACCACTGATTGTGGTGTCATTGAAATAAGGAAAACTATGAAAACCACTGATACTATTCTGAAAGCTTCCGTCTGTGCTTGTACTGCTGTGTTTTGATTACTTTTCCTTCTAAGCACAGGTAAACTTCTTGTCAATGATTCGCCTTCCCGAACATTGTCCATACCTTTTGGTGCCAAATTTGAATCCGATTGGTCACTATCTGTCACGTACACTTGTCCATATGAACTCCCCGCTCGTCTCACATTTTTACAAAAGTTGTTCGCAGTTATGACGTAAACAATGATCGTGCATATCCATAGGAAGAATATAATTGATCTAACTGGAATGAGTGCGTAAGACAAATTATTTCCGAAAATAGATGTTAAAAGACATATCTTTATCGTTGATTGTCTTCTAGAAAATAGGTACGGTGTTCCAAGTATCAATGAACAAATAAAAATGCTTACAAGTGTTAGTGATTGTCGCTTACGCAAAGACATGACCTTCGTAGGAATTGGTCTCATACACATATATCGTTCTGTACATATGATTAAGGTGTGGACTAGCGAGGTCACAAATCCAAGCTGAATCAGAAAATATGCCAATCCACATATCCAAATCTGCTTCAGCTGCAGCAACCTTATCAGTGAAAAGTGAAATAGAGCCATGGCCAGTAAAATGTCGCTGCTACTTAAAAACAGAACTGCAATGATGTACGATTTTTGTCGCAGAGTCTTGTTTACATATGCAAATAAAATTATCGCAAAATGTTCCGCAAATGCTATTATTGCAACTGAACACAGCGTCCATAACATTATATAATGGACAAGGGGTATAGAGTTTGGTTCCAAGGTCGTGGTACTGTTGGTGTTACTTTGATTGTACATATTCTTTCAGGAACCTGTGAAAAAATAAAAAATGATTGGCAACATGAGAAAATATTTAGTATGGACATTGTTGGCTAACAATTTTGCAGGTTTTCATAAATATGACATGAAGGATTTCTACTTTCCAATGAGAAGTTGGTTGATCAAAAGTTAGATAGGCTTACAACCGAGCATTTTTTATCGCAAATTAAAACTGCTTTTCTCGAAACCTTTAGGAATAAGTGAATGTCATAAACCGCATTGCTGGGCTTAGTTTTACGAAAACTTTCATGTATCAAAATACTAATATTTTTACAAAAGTTTATAGCAAATTGCAAATTTGACCCATGTATGACCTCGGAAAACGCTCAAGGTAATTAATTTAATCGTAGTTTTTTGCTTTTAATCCAATCATACTACAGGCCTTATATCATGATCCTTTGCCTCTTGGTTATAAAGTAGAATTAATTTAATTTTTTTTACTCATTTCACATTTTGACATTGAAAGTGTATCAAGGTCGTTTACATTTTTTGTTGTATGTTGATATCAATTTTGCTTATCAATATCAAGACGTTAGACCTTGTAGATATTTTCTTACCTGAAACCAGTCGGTGACGGTATCAATCTTGAAGCTTCTTTCGGGTTCGGAAAACCTTTGGATTTATGAAAGTCTAGACGACTGAAGCACTTCCTGAGGATACTTAAAATTGTATACTTGATTCAGTTGGAAATATTTGATAGTGATAAAAAGGTAGGATTCACGAAGTTCCTGTGGCGATGAAAATATACGATTCACGAAGTTCCTGTAGTGAGTAAAGTACAGTATTCACGAAAATCCTATCTTGAGTAGAAGTTCGGATTCACGACGATCCTGCTGTAATAAAAAAATAGGATTCACGGAGTTCGTTTGGTGAGGAAAATGGCCGGTTCACGGTGTTATTGTGGTGATGAAAATTTTAGGATGCACGAAGTTTATGTCGTTGTAAATAATTTAGGATTCACAGAATTCCAATGGAAATGCGAGTTTAGGATTCACAGAGTTCTGGCATTGATGATGAAAAGCTAGAATTAACGAGTTCCTGCGGGGACGAGAACGCGGAATGGTTAAAGTCTGTTCCGTGGTTGAACTGTAGCGTTGACAGGTTTGGTCTTGGCATGTGAATGTCGTTATAATCAGTGATATTATATCGTTGTAGGTTGTGTAACACTACAGCCTTCTTGTATCACAGTTATGCTTGCTTGTCATCTCGCCTTGATCCCTTGTAGCATGGTTATACCTTGTACTTACGATCTGTATGTATTCACGGAATGACAGATGTCAGATCGCACAGATCTAACAACGAGAAATAATGCTAGTGATGTTGAAATAAAAAGAGCAGAAATAACAAAAAAGACAAAACAAAACAGATATAATAATCAAAGGAAAAAAATAAAAAAAATCTTTGTATATATTTTAACGTTGAATAATAATAATCGTCATGTATTGCACGTTATACCACTAAAGGAACAACAGGTGGAACAGCAAAACATCTTATTTCAATTGGACAGGAAAGGTTGTCGGATGTGACGGTTACCAAAGTGTAAATATCAGCAGTATTGGTAAGGTCAAATAGAGAATATACACATCAGAAATGTAGACATTAAGACTAGTCCATCAACATGATATGCCTAACAGGAATTAGAAAAGAAAAATTTCCTTTAATCAGAGGAAGAAATTCAAAAGTAAGTTTTTAAGAAAGATGATCCTAAAATCCTTAGATGACACAGAAAACCTTTCGAATTTAGAAGATATATCAGTAGTGTTAAACTGCTGGAGTGAGGGCAGGAAACTAAAGTCTTACACTCTCAGCTCTCAGTGTTTGTGTTGTGTCTGACAGCTCTCAGTGTTTGTATTTGTGTGTCTGACAGCTCTCAGTGTTTGTATTTGTGTCTGACAGATCTCAGTGTTTGTGTTTGTGTCTGTCAGATCTCAGTTTGTATGTTTCTGTGTGTCAGATCTCTTTTCTAATTATTCCCACAAAAACCCAGCTTAACGACACCAGTGGGGAAGACGTTTAAAGATATGTTGTTGTTTTCCTAAAGTTGGCAGCCTTATTGAATTTCGGATTTGCTCTGTCCTGATTGACATATACCAGGATTCCAAGCTCCTTACAGAATGTATAAACACGTTGGTAGTGTTGGTGTTATTGTTAATGTAAACCGTTTTGTAGACCTACAATATCCTCGCGAGTAGAAATCGCGTGCGAGACTTCTATCAGTGTCTCATTTACCAAAGAAGTCATAATTAGGTCAACGACAAACCGTGGATGACGTCAGAGTTGAGAAACAAGATTAGAATCCGAGATCGATTACAAAAATTGTGAGAGAATCTAATCGTCGCCGTGATATACAAAAATGAAAAAAAAAAATCAATAAGGTAGCCTCGTTTTGGCGAGAGCAACATAGAGATTCCTCGAATTCCTCATGATGCACCAATAAAAATCTAAACTCATTTAAAATAGATTATAGTGAAATCGGAGATGTTCAGAAACATTAAAACTCGGGAGAGCTTCACTCTCTGATGAAATCAGTCTTCATATGTTAAAGAATATGTATAGATTTTATATAAACCTCTTGAGATGTCATTCATTGTGTCGCCATCTACTGGAATCTATCCACGCTGATGTAAAATTTCGGCCATTATTTAAGAAGGTTGATAGGCATTCTATTCTATAGGCGTTCAATTTCTCTAATTTCCAATATTAGTAGATGTTTTGAACGTGTAGTCTTTAAACATATCTATGACTATTTTGTTAACAACTCACTGTTTTATAAAAATCAGACTGGTTTTCTATCAGGACTCGGCTGTCTATCAATTAACAGAAGCGGCATCTTAATACCTATTCAACGATTGCCGATATGAAACATAAATGTGTTTGTATTTTGTAATATTTCAAAAGCCTCCGATCGTGTTTTATGTGAATTATCCAAGTGTGTGGAAACTTGAATCTGGCTTTAGACAGTCTCACTTCAAAACGGCTTTAATTAAAACGGCCCTAGTTAAAATGGTATCACTTCAAAACGGCCCTAGTAAAAATGGTATCACTTCAAAACGGCCCTGGTTAAAATGTTATAACTTCAAAACGGTCCTACTTAAAATGGTATAACTTCAAAACGGCCCAAGTTAAGATGGTATCACTTCCAAACGGCCCTATTTAAAATGTTATAACTTCAAAACGGCCCTAGTTAAAATGGTGTAACTTCGAAACGGCACAAGTTAAGATGGTATCACTTCCAAACGGTCCTAGTTAAACTGGTAATCACTTCCAAACGGCCCTAGTTAAAATGGTATCACTTCAAAATGGCCCTAGTTAAAATGGTATCACTTCCAAACGGCCCTAGTTAAGATGGTACTCACTTCCAAACGGCCCTAGTTAAGATGGTACTCACTTCCAAGCGGCCCTAGTTAAAATGGCACTCACTTCCAAACGGCCCTAGTTAAGATGGCATTCACTTCACAACCACCCTAGATAAGGTGATCTCACTTCAAAACCACCCTTGTTAAAACCATCCTTGTTAAAACGACCCAACTTCAAAAACGGTCCTAGTTAAATGGTCTCACTTAAAAAACGATCCTATAGTTAAAACGGCTTTATCGTAAACACGATCTTAGTTGAAGGGCCTCACTTCAGGAAACGGTCCTAGTTAAAACGGCCCTATCATTAAAACGACCCGAGTTAAAATGGCCTCACTTCTTCAAAAACGGTCCTAGTTAAAACGGCCCTATCGTAGAACAGACCCTAGTTAAAACGGTCTCACTTCAAAAACAGTACTATTATCGGCCTTAACTTAAAATTCATCCTAATTAAAAAGGTCTCACTTCTAAAAACGGCCTTAGGTAAAACGGCCTTTAAAAACGACCCTAGTTAAATTGGACTGATTTCAAGAAGTCCTTAATAAAAATGGCCCTATCGTAAAAACGGCTCTATACGAAGTCCGTGCGTGACCACACTAATAAAAAAGATGACGTCATTTTAAAATAACACAAGTAACATGGAATATTATTGGGATTTTTAATGTCACGGATGTAGAATTGACTTTCTTCAATAGAGGGTAATATTTCAATTGTAAATAACTTAAACACGCCTTTTGTTTTTAAAATGTCCAAAGTTATTCCATTATTGAAAATTGGCTGTCACAAAAGTTAGCGCAATCGATTTGAAAATTATTAAGAATTCTGCCACTTTTTATTTTGATATTTTAAGTTATGTACCTTTGGAGAAAATATATGTTACACAGCATGCAAAACTGATTAACTTGAAATTTTTCGCTGTAGCTTTACAAAGTGACAATTCAATTTAATTCATTCCAGAAGTTTTTTTTTTAAATAGCGGACATGTTGCTTGAAAATTAAGAACGTGGATTAATGTTGTTTCAACAGTCAAGCAAATCGGATTACACAATAAAATGACTTATTTACTACTTTCTATCAATATAAGTCATAAATCCTAGTTTTGTATTGGGTTGAAACATTATGTTAAAAAACGATATGTTTTTTAAAAAATATTTTGATTAATTAGTTTCCATTGATAATGAGTTTCATCCCCCGTTCTTCAAATTTTAATTATCTATGATTCATGGCACTGATCATATTTATTTTCAAATTGGACGTTGTTCCGTACGATGAGAAATTAGGTCATGGAAAGGCTGGCTAGAGTTCACACCAGTCCAGGTAAACAGCAGGGGCTCTTAGTTCCTAGAGAGGACCTTAATGGTCATACACGTCCTTCGAAATAACTGACCCTAAGCAAATAAAATACAGAGTACATTTTTTATAATTTCATCTTTCATATACAACACGAATTTAGCACGACACGAGTCGACTCGACACGACGCGGACACGAAACGAAACGACACAACACAACACAACACAACACGACACAACACAACACGACACGACAAAACACAACACGACACGACACACAACACGACACGACACGAAACGACACGACACAACACAACGCAACACAACACAACACAACACGACACGACAAAACACAACACGACACGAAACGAAACGATACAACACAACACAACACGACACGACACGACACGAAATGACACAACACAATACAACACGACACGACACGACACAACACGACACGACACAACACATTACAATACATTTTATTAAAGGGTCACATGCGTGTCATTTTTTCATAAAATAATGAAATAAACACATTTGAAGAGTATTGACACCTAGTCTATTAAGGTTTACGAGACAATATATAAAATACAAGAACTATCTGGACTTAACAAGTGATGGACATGATCAGTAATATTCTTCTACCATACATCTTGTGAACTGTACGTACCAATCTGTATGTCCACAGCTTATTCTTATTGGTAATTTACTATCATTATATAGCTCTTTACGCCATTTACAATTAGCAACATTTACAAAACGAATTTTTATTAGCTTAATAGAATCTTTGGTTGATGATAAAGGTTATGGATAAGTAGTCTATATAAGGCATTGTTTCTCAGGAGCTTAACAAATCTGTCCCCCCAACTGCGGTTGACAGAAAGAGACCAGTTACTGATCTTTTTTTAGAAATCTATTCTCAACTGAACATCTTAAATTTAACCACAGTCCACAGACTTCAACTTTCTGTTCATGAAAAGAAATCCATATTTATTTAGTAAGTAGTAATGTTATAAAGTATAGATAAAGCCATACAAGTTTGATAGTGAACAATTCCTGTAGCAGTGACACACTGAAGATAAAGTCAAAGGGACATTACTCCATCGGCGGAAGTGAGTTATAATACACTTCCGGTATGTTCCAATGACAGATGAAAACACTGCGAAACAAGGTATTTAAGTCGTCTGCAAGGTTAATATATCGAAAATCTGTGTCAGATGTCAACATTTCTCCATTTTCCAAAAATAGAAAGCGTGTCAGATCAGTTCAAACACAGTCATTTTGGGAAAATTCGGCTTGTGACATTTCAGTAGCAAAATGCATGAAGAGAGAAGAGACAAGATCACAACCCTTCAACAATTGCACCAGGCCACTAGTTTATAGCAACTTCCACAAGCTGATGCTGTGTCAACTTCTGTCCTTTTTCAAAAGAAAATTTCAATATTATCCCAAAAAATATATGTTCGATATAAATAAGGCATTGCTATAAGATTGGAATCGGGGATATCTGTATGTATACCCAGAAACGTCAAACTAATCGTACAGATAAGTCATAGCGTTATTTCAAGTAAAAAAATAGAAATCGAAAAAAGCATACTGGGAAACATCAATAAGAGATGAAATTCTATACTATTGAGTAAATTGATAATAGTATAACCTTTAATTCTTTAGCAAATGTTTCAAAAGCATGATTTCAAGTATGTTTGTATCCTATTGAAAATATAAATGGACTGTAATTTACCTGGTATAAAGGGGAGAGTAAATTATGACAGAAGACAAATTAGAAACCAGTTGCCCTCCAGTGTGGTTTATATCTTGCATATTTCAGTCAGTTTTTCTCTGATTATTTTAAAAAGGGCTGTTCACAGTTTATACCAAGTGTAAAAGCTGTTCACAGTTTTTACCAAGTGTTGAATGCTCTAATTGATTTGAGAGAATATGTGTATGTTTCAGTCTCCTAATATCGCAGCTTCCTATACATTTGGAGGATGAATATTTTTAGAGCAGTTTATGCTAATTAAACAAAGGCATGCATTTTCCATCATTCAGCTTATTTTTCTATGACTCAGATGCTAGAGATGTAAATTATAATTCTGGAGAGCTTGAATTCAGTTAGGCTGGGTCCTTAAATATCTATCGTATTCATATATACATGTTTTTATTGCAGGTGATTGTTTAAGAGTAGAATAAGAAACTGGAGGAGCTGGATTTAATAATGGCAAACAGTAAATAAGGATAAAATGTCCCACAAGGTTGTTGTTCTAGTAGTGTACTATTCTTAAGAGATTCTTTTACTTGGATGGATGGAAGTAGCTCAGTTTTCCAAGAATCATAACCCTTCAGTTATGATAGACTCCAGGCGGTTTACAATTCACAGTCAGCCGCAGAATGCATTTACAGTCATGCATGACCTGCGCGTCAGACACATGCTCTGTGATGTTGTCATCACTGTGGAGGAGAAAGATTTTGATGCACATAAGGTTGTGTTGTGTGGATGTAGTCCTTACTTACTGGCTATGTTTACAAATGGAATGCAAGAGTCGGAACAAGAGCATGTACAGATTCGGGGCCTAGAAGCTTGGGCAATGGAGCTTTTGTTGGAGTTCATGTATACCAGCGAGATAGAGATAACTGTTGACAATGTCCAGGGTATTCTACAAGGTGCTAGTTTACTGGGTCTGCATCAGTTACGCAAGTCATGTGCCACGTTCCTTCAGTCCCAGCTCACAGCATCCAACTGTCTAGGTAAATATGTTATAAAATCAAACAATACACATTAAATGTACATATATATATTACTGATCATTATAAGCAATATGAAACAGATATTTTTTTCTTATTAAATGTTGATTTTTATCATGAACTTTTACATTACTTTTTTGTTTTTTAAAAGTCAGTCATATGTGATAAATATAGAACACATCCGTTATAATACATATATTAGTAATTGAATACAGCTGTTGTTGTTGTTGCTGCTTAACTGTCATCATCATCAGTCAGGTTCATCTATCATTGAGGGTTTCAACCCCTATCCTGGAACTGTCTTCAGACAGTGGGTCAGCAAGGGTGATCAGTCCCTACTCTCCAACATTTGATTTCCAGCTACTTTCTCCTCCCCACATTCTCAGCCACCGTCTCTTTGTTTCATTCTCCAACTCTCTTAATGGCATATTCCTTTCCGAGCATCTTCCAGCATGATTTGACAGCATGATTTGACGGGGAATCCTCTACAGACTTCACTTTCATAGGGAAGTTCTGTGCGTGTCAGTCTTTTCTCCCACAATCCTGTATTGGCTCTGGATACGTGGTCTTTTTCCGTTTATGTACTATTCCCCAGGGCACTGTCACTTCCACCAGCTTCTTCCTGCTGGGGGACAACAACACTATGTCTAGCTCAAGCATATCTGATTAAAAAAAGACCAAATTTCTTCCCCACGAAAAAAATCTACTTGTATCTCCCAGTCTCCTACAACTCTGGACCGAAGTTGGCATTCCTTTTTGTCCATGATGGTATTTGTCCCTCTCTGTGGAACTGGATAAATGTTGGTCCCCTTTGTGTTCCCGGTGCCTTTTTCCTTTCCCTCTGAAGGGTTTAAGCGAGTTACTTAACACCTGGTTGTTCCTCCATGTGTATGGGCCCTGTGCCAGCACTACTTCTCAGGAAGAAAGAATACATTCCTGACTTCCAGGTCTTTCAAATTGGTGAAACATTCACCAATCTTTCACAAATCCTCTTCTGTGAAGATTTGTCAGTATTGGATGCAGCCCTGAGAATGAACTGTAGCTGTTATGGTGTATTTGCTGTAAACTTAAAGAAAAAATGAGAAGTGAAATTTTGATGGAGTTTTGGGAATGAATCAACAATATTTCTGCATTCAAGATTTCCAAGTGATGCTGTTGTGGGAAGACACACTGTACAGACAATGAGATAAACAGAGAGTTTTTGTGTATTATAACGACCTGCTTTAGACATGGTTATATCAGTAGTACATACACCTCGATTCTGTCCATCAGAATCCAGTTATACTGTTATCTTGTTTAATGATTCTAGATCGTAAAATACATAAGTGTTATCTTTGAGAATCTATTACTGAGTAAAAAGTTGAAAAAGAACGTTCACTTGGTATATGAAATCTGTTCATGAAAATTAAAAATTTTCAAACATAATTAATGTATGGCTGATTTATTTTATTTTACTTTTTCAGGAATCAATTTTTTGGCAGATTTATACATGTGTACTGATCTAGAAGCTCTGTCTAGACAGTATATATATCAAAATTTCTTGGAAGTGATGCATTATGAGGAGTTCTTTCAATTGTCTGAGGAGAGGTTACTAGCATTATTAAAAAGTGACAAGTTACAAGTGACTAATGAGCACCAGGTGTTGGAAGCAGTGTGTGCCTGGCTGCAGTGTGACGAGTCCAACAGAACACCAGTAGCATGCAACCTTCTTCAGTATGTAAAACTGCCTCTTCTAGGCCTCAACTATTTAGAAAATGTTGTACTGAAATTTGAATTTGTGAAAAATTGTCCGAAGTGTCAGTTGCTCATCAGTAAGGCTATAAACATGCATCATGATGAAACGGCCTTGACCTTAGTGACCCCACGGGCTCAGCCTCCATGTATATATGTAATGGGAGGTCGTAACAGCACAGATTGTCAGCTGAAGAGCATGGAAAAGTATGACTTTCTTATTGATCAGTGGAATACAGTGGTAAGTAAAACTACAATGTAGATATAGAAATAGTACAGCAAGTTATTTTTATCACATGAGATACATACCGGTATGTAAGTGCAATTTTTTATTAAGGAAATACACCGCGTCTTGATTGAGCAGGTAACCCCAAACACTTTCAGTTTCTGATCAGGGGATCAAACCCTATCATGTTTCCTTCAGGAAAAGCATGTGCATGCACATTATCACTGCACCACTGAGCCATCATTCCGAGTTATCATATATTCATATTTCTATATGCAGACAAACATGAACATTGCACGGACAGCTGTAGGTGCAGTCAGCGTGGATGGTGTGTTGTATGCGGTGGGTGGGGAATGTGCTCTTGCGGATACACAGGAGGACACCCTCTACTTACGCTGTATGGAGTGTTATGACCCGGTGCTTCGACAGTGGATACCAAAACCTGAAATGAAGATTGCACGCTCATTTGTAGCATGTGTAGCTGTTGGGAGGATGTTATATGCTATAGGTATGGTGTATTATACATACAGTCTGTACATATGTATGTGAAATATTACATGATGGGATCTAAGTTGCTATTACGTGTAATGTACACCTCCTATGTACCTGAGTGTACAGCTGTGTGTGTACACAGTATGTGTACCTGAGTGTGCAGCTGTGTGTGTACACAGTATGTGTACCTGAGTGTGCAGCAGTGTTTGTACACTGTATGTGTAGCTGTGTGTGTACACTATGTGTAACCAAGTGTGCAGCTGTGTGTGTACACTGTATGAATACCTGAGCTGCAGCTGTGTGTGTACACTGTATGTGTAGCTGTGTGTGTAGTTGTGTGTGCACACTGTATATGTACCTGTGTGTGAAGCTGTGTGTGTACACTGTGTACCTGAGTGTGCAGCTCTGTGTGTGTACACTGTATGTGTACCTGAGTCTGTAGCTGTATTTGTACCTGTATGTGGAGCTGTGTGTGTACACTATGTGTACCTGAGTGTGCAGCTGTATGTGTACATTGTAAGTGTACCTGAGTGTACAGTGTGTGTGTACACTGTATGTGTACCTGAGTGTGTATCCATGTATGGTGTATTTACTATATTTGTTGTGTTGTAGGAGGGGAAGATGGATTGTGTAAATATTTTTATTGTTGTGTTGTAGGAGGGGAGGATGGATTGTGTAATTACTGTAATTGTTGTGTTGTAGGAGGGGAGGATGGATTGTGTAATTACTATAATTGTTGTGTTGTAGGAGGGGAAGATGGATTGTGTAATTACTGTAATTGTTGTGTTGTAGGAGGGGAGGATGGATTGTGTAATTACTGTAATTGTTGTGTTGTAGGAGGGGAGGATGGATTGTGTAATTACTATAATTGTTGTGTTGTAGGAGGGGAGGATGGATTGTGTAATTACTGTAATTGTTGTGTTGTAGGAGGGGAGGATGGATTGTGTAATTACTGTAATTGTTGTGTTGTAGGAGGGGAGGATGGATTGTGTAATTACTGTAATTGTTGTGTTGTAGGAGGGGAGGATGGATTGGGTGATTACTATAATTGTTGTGATGTAGGAGGGGAGGATGGATTGTGTAGTTACTGTAATTGTTGTGTTGTAGGAGGGGAGGATGGATTGTGTAATTACTGTAATTGTTGTGTTGTAGGAGGGGAGGATGGATTGTGTAATTACTGTAATTGTTAAGTTGTAGGAGGGGAAGATGGATTGTGTAATTACTGTTATTGTTGTGTTGTAGGAGGAGAAGATGGATCATGTAGCTACTGTATTGTGGAAAAGTATGACCAAAGACAAGAAGTATGGAGCTTTGCTTCCAGTATGAAGAGGAAAAGAGCTGGTGCTGGGACCTGTGTCTGTGATGGAAAGATATATGTTGCAGGTGCATCATTTGTCATAAATATCTGACTATTTTGTGTTTTGTTTGTGTCAGAAAAATAATAGATAGTAATAAATATTGAGAACCTACAGGAAATTTCAGTCAAATTATAACATCTCTTTGCATGACTGTGACTTTGTCACACATTTAATATTTTGTATGACGTTACAATATACAGTGATACTATACGGGCCAGTTAACTTGTAGACATCAGTGTTATTGTATATTTTCTCTGTCGCTTGATGTTGCCTGTTAGAGTTGACTTTGTGATGTCACCTTTCGTGACATTCCAGCTGAAGTGTGCCCCTTTGGTGAGATTTGTAACCAAGTTCTACTGAAATAAGAATTTTTTGCTCTGCAGTTATAAGTAATTAATATGTTTTAGTGTTATGTTATAAATCTTTACCTACTGTACTCGGCCACAGTTTCTGTGTTTCATTCTGGAAACATCTCATAACAACAGAACCATACTATCTCTGAGATTATGGTACTTCACAATTTCTGGTGTATGATCGATAATGGTACATGGTCTCAAACACTTAGATTTTTAAAAAATCCTATTTTAATCATGTGAAAGAAGGACAGAAAAGTCAAATTGATCCTCTTTTATGTAGGTGGCTATGACAAGATCTTACACCTCGACCGAGCAAGTGTTGAGTGCTTCGATCCTGCCACTGAGGAGTGGACATTTGTGTCGGAGATGGAGAAGGCCCGATCAGGGCTGGCTCTAGTCAGTGTAGAACACTTTATATATGCCTTTGGTGGACGTTACAAACACACTGACCAGTACACAGATATGGTGGAAAGGTACTTAAATGTATATGATATACTTTTGATGGCTAATGCCAAATATTTATTGCTTTGTCAATCTGCTTTCTTCATTCTGTACAGAGAACATTTATTTTTAGAAAATCTGACATCAATTTTGGCACGTACTTGGTAGTAGTGTATATTGATACTTAAATGAAGGTAATTAAAGTGCATCCAGGCCCGACTTGTATAAAACATCGCAACTTGAGATTTCCTCAAGCCCAGATTTTCCTCAGCTAATATCTCCTTGAAAATATCTTGTATGAAAATTCCTCAAGGAATTTCAGGACATCCTAGCCGATGCCTTCCTCCTGTTCCTTGAGAAAATTTTATACAAGCCGTTTTTGAGGAGATATCACCTGATTAAAATCTTGACTTGAGGAAATCTCAAGTTGAGATGTTTTATACAAGTGGGGCCAGGTCATATCATATTGATGTGTTGTAACTCCAATTATAAAGTACAGTCACTGAAAGTGTTTACAAAAATAAAGTTGGTAAATACAAATTGTGTACATATAAATCCACATACAGAGCAATATAATATAAATATATTTATAGATGAACATAGAATAGTCAATAAGACTGATGTGCATTTACATTAATTGTGAATTTCTTTTGATACACTTATTTAAGAAAAATTTGAAATGAACAAGTGTGTAATGTGAAACCAGAATTTATTGAACATTAGAGAGTTTTTGTGAATATGACCAATCAATATTTGTATGTCTTCCTTACTAGTTGGAATAATTAATTCAATTTTTTTTTTCAATTCTTAATCAACAGATTAACGACTTGGCAAAATCATTAGTAAAATTTACGAATTATACTATTTGTGCTAGGGAGCATTTAGATAAAATGTGGATTTTGCAGGAAGTATAACCAGAATTTATTGCAACTTACCAGTACAAAAATAGCGTAGAAGTGATGTATTTATAGACAAATACTCTAGGGATTAGGCATGATCTGTGTTCATTTTAATTTCTTTCTTTTTCCAGATTTAACACACTGACAAATCAATGGACAACAATATCGTCAATGAATACACCGAGAGCATGGCCAGGAATCGCAGCATTTGATGGTAAAATTTACCTAATGGGGGGCTTCGATGGCACAAGTCGATTACGAAGCGCTGAAGTCTATGATATTGAATCTGATCGCTGGGCTTTCCTCAGTAACATGATCGTGAGCCGGGCAGGCTGTGGAGCAGCAGTTGTATAGTAATGAATTACCTGATTTGGGCCATTGGACTGTGTAGCTAGGGTTAAAATAACCATTTGTTACCTGATATGGGTCAGTGGACTGTGTAGCTGTAGTTATACAGACCGTTTGTTACCTGATATGGGTCAGTGGACTGTGTAGCTGTAATTATACTGACCGTTTGTTACCTGATATGGGTCAGTGGACTGTGTAGCTAGGGTTAAAGTGACCATTTGTTACCTGATATGGGTCAGTGGACTGTGAAGCTAGGGTTAAAATGACCATTTGTTACCTGATATGGGTCAGTGGACTGTGTAGCTGTAGTTATACTGACCATTTGTTACCTGATATAGACCAGTGGACTGTGTAGCTGTAGTTATACTGACCATTTGTTACCTGATATGGGTCAGTGGACTGTGTAGCTGTAGTTATACTGACCATTTGTTACCTGATATGGGTCAGTGGACTGTGTAGCTAGGGTTAAAGTGACCATTTGTTACCTGATATGGGTCAGTGGACTGTGTAGCTGTAGTTACACAGACCATTTGTTACCTGATATGGACCAGTGGACTGTGTAGCTAGGGTTAAAATAACCATTTGTTACCTGATATGGGTCAGTGGACTGTGTAGCTAGGGTTAAAATGACCATTTGTTACCTGATATGGACCAGTGGACTGTGTAGCTAGGGTTAAAATAACCATTTGTTACCTGATATGGGTCAGTGGACTGTGTAGCTATAGTTACACAGACCATTTGTTACCTGATATGGACCAGTGGACTGTGTAGCTAGGGTTAAAAAGACCATTTGTTACCTGATATGGGTCAGTGGACTGTGTAGCTGTAGTTATACTGACCATTTGTTACCTGATATGGGTCAGTGGACTGTGTAGCTGTAGTTATACTGACCATTTGTTACCTGATATGGGTCAGTACTGTGTAGCTGTAGTTATACTGACCATTTGTTACCATTTGTTACCTGATATGGGTCAGTGGACTGTGTAGCTGTAGTTATACTGGGTCAGTGGACTGTGTAGCTGTAGTTATTTTTGTTACCTGATATGGGTCAGTGGACTGTGTAGCTGTAGTTACCTGATATGGGTCAGTGGACTGTGTAGCTGTAGTTATACTGACCATTTGTTACCTGATACTGACTGTGTATTTGTTACCTGATATGGGTCAGTGGACTGTGTAGCTGTAGTTATACTGACCATTTGTTACCTGATATGGGTCAGTGGACTGTGTAGCTGTAGTTATACTGACCATTTGTTACCTGATATGGGTCAGTGGACTGTGTAGCTGTAGTTATACTGACCATTTGTTACCTGATATGGGTCAGTGGACTGTGTAGCTGTAGTTATACTGACCATTTGTTACCTGATATGGGTCAGTGGACTGTGTAGCTGTAGTTATACTGACCGTTTGTTACCTGATATGGGTCAGTGGACTGTGTAGCTGTAGTTATACTGACCATTTGTTACCTGATATGGGTCAGTGGACTGTGTAGCTGTAGTTATACTGACCATTTGTTACCTGATATGGGTCAGTGGACTGTGTAGCTGTAGTTATACTGACCATTTGTTACCTGATATGGGTCAGTGGACTGTGTAGCTGTAGTTATACTGACCATTTGTTACCTGATATGGGTCAGTGGACTGTGTAGCTGTAGTTATACTGACCATTTGTTACCTGATATGGGTCAGTGGACTGTGTAGCTGTAGTTATACTGACCATTTGTTACCTGATATGGGTCAGTGGACTGATATGGGTCAGTGGACTGTGTAGCTGTAGTTATACTGACCATTTGTTACCTGATATGGGTCAGTGGACTGTGTAGCTGTAGTTATACTGACCATTTGTTACCTGATATGGGTCAGTGGACTGTGTAGCTGTAGTTATACTGACCATTTGTTACCTGATATGGGTCAGTGGACTGTGTGTAGCTGTATGTTGGACTGTGTAGCTGTACCATTTGTTACCTGATATGGGTCAGTGGACTGTGTAGCTGTTTGTTAGATATGGGTTATACTGTGTAGCTGTATTTGTTACCTGATATGGGTCAGTGGACTGTGTAGCTGTAGTTATACTGACCATTTGTTACCTGATATGGGTCAGTGGACTGTGTAGCTGTAGTTATACTGACCATTTGTTACCTGATATGGGTCAGTGGACTGTGTAGCTGTAGTTATACTGACCATTTGTTACCTGATATGGGTCAGTGGACTGTGTAGCTGTAGTTATACTGACCATTTGTTACCTGATATGGGTCAGTGGACTGTGTAGCTGTAGTTATACTGACCATTTGTTACCTGATATGGGTCAGTGGACTGTGTAGCTGTAGTTATACTGACCATTTGTTACCTGATATGGGTCAGTGGACTGTGTAGCTGTAGTTATACTGACCATTTGTTACCTGATATGGGTCAGTGGACTGTGTAGCTGTAGTTATACTGACCATTTGTTACCTGATATGGGTCAGTGGACTGTGTAGCTGTAGCTGTAGTTATACTGACCATTTGTTACCTGATATGGGTCAGTGGACTGTGTAGCTGTAGTTATACTGACCATTTGTTACCTGATATGGGTCAGTGGACTGTGTAGCTGTAGTTATACTGACCATTTGTTACCTGATATGGGTCAGTGGACTGTGTAGCTGTAGTTATACTGACCATTTGTTACCTGATATGGGTCAGTGGACTGTGTAGCTAGCCATTTGTTACCTGATATGGGTCAGTGGACTGTGTAGCTGTAGTTATACTGACCATTTGTTACCTGATATGGGTCAGTGGACTGTGTAGCTGTAGTTATACTGACCATTTGTTACCTGATATGGGTCAGTGGACTGTGTAGCTGTAATTATACTGACCATTTGTTACCTGATATGGGTCAGTGGACTGTGTAGCTGTAGTTATACTGACCATTTGTTACCTGATATGGGTCAGTGGACTGTGTAGCTGTAGTTATACTGACCATTTGTTACCTGATATGGGTCAGTGGACTGTGTAGCTGTAGTTATACTGACCATTTGTTACCTGATATGGGTCAGTGGACTGTGTAGCTGTAGTTATACTGACCATTTGTTACCTGATATGGGTCAGTGGACTGTGTAGCTGTAGTTATACTGACCATTTGTTACCTGATATGGGTCAGTGGACTGTGTAGCTGTAGTTATACTGACCATTTGTTACCTGATATGGGTCAGTGGACTGTGTAGCTGTAGTTATACTGACCATTTGTTACCTGATATGGACCAGTGGACTGTGTAGCTGTAGTTATACTGACCATTTGTTACCTGATATGGGTCAGTGGACTGTGTAGCTGTAGTTATACTGACCATTTGTTACCTGATATGGGTCAGTGGACTGTGTAGCTGTAGTTATACTGACCATTTGTTACCTGATATGGGTCAGTGGACTGTGTAGCTGTAGTTATACTGACCATTTGTTACCTGATATGGCTCAGTGGACTGTGTAGCTGTAGTTATACTGACCATTTGTTACCTAATCTGGGTCATTTGAGCGTTTATCTTATGTTGAAGATTTCTTACCTGATTTATATGCAAAATGGTTTGGATCTGGAGGTATTCAGATAACTTATTTTTCTGATTGAAGACCAGATAGTTATGATGATGTCTTGTAGGGCATTAGTAAGACCATAACAACATGATAGTAAATTACGTGAAATAATCAACAAACATAGTAGTTACAGAGACATGAAAATTTGAAACTGTTATTTGACAGGTTTGGGAGCTTCAGACCCCCAAAGCTAACAGTGATATACTGTAAATCACTTAATACATTTCATCTAGGATTATTTTTTGCGTTAATATGCGAGAGAGCCTATCGTGAATTAAAATCTTTTGCGATTATTTGTATGAACTGCCCGGGATGGATTTCATTTCGAGTTGGTTTCCTATATCAGAGATTTGAGGAGTCCTGGTCTACATGCATGGTCCATATTCAGCTAGTTATCTTTGAAAGTGTTTTTGGTTAACATAGAACAAAGGTTTAGGTCCCTTAAATCAGTTTTATTTTCTGAGTAAGTCTGCTCTTCATTCTATTTTTAATTTGTTTTCATGAAAATTTTTTTGTCATTTGAATAACTGAATTTGTGGATAAATTCAGCGTGCTTGATTGTACAGTAAAATATGTTTTTTTTTAAAAACTGTTCAAAATATATAGAAATTGAACCTGGTACATGCACGTTTGTTTCAGATCTTTCGGAAACTCTTCTCTCACCATGAATAGTTGAAAATTTTCTTTTTGTTTGGTCAGTCATGAAATCACTTTGACCTTATCTGGCTTTAGGGCACTGACCTTTGACCATGCCTTTCTGTAAAACGTGGTTGACCGAGTCTGATTTTGAAGAGAAGAGATTATCTTTGGTCTAGCTTGGTCCATCACAAAGACATCTGATTTCATCTGGCTTTTGGAAACTGGTCCTTGAGCTAGTGTATTCAGTGAAAATTAACATGCTTTAATTTGGGACATTTTCTTCAGGTTGGTAATGTCCATAGATAGAAGTTGTTATAACACAACCTGTAGAAGATTAGAGTGTGAAATTTTGAATACTTCACGATCACCATCTTCAGACAAATGACCAATGTGGAGCATACAAGCACTGACGTATGTAGTGTTCAAGATGGTATAAAATGGACCAACATATTAGACTGTATATTTGCTACAATCCTATGTACACCAAGGTTGAAAATAGTGTGACGAGATGGTACACAGATCAAAGACAAAAAAAAATTGCCTACTGCGACATATCAACTATGTATGTCAGTGTTAGTATGCTCCACACTGGTCATTTGACCTGCTGAAGGGGACTGTGTAGTCATCGAAACATCGCACACTAATCTTCTACTGTTGTGTTATAAGAACTGCTATTTTCTCAACATGATCTACTTTTGTATAGCTTGTCCTTGATCTACCTTTCATTTTGGTGAATTTTTTTTATCATTTATCGTGTCTTTGGGGAGCTATATATAATTAATGAAGGTATTTTGATGGATTCTAGTTTCT